GTTTCTAATTCTCCTATAGGTCTATTATTTAAAATATTGAAGGCAGTATTTAAATTAGTCCTTCAGTTTTTATAAGAACCCTCTCCAAGTTTAATTAATTGCTATTTAAGCAGATCATTTATTCTTTCAGTCAAGCCAGCATCTTGAGGATAATAAAATCAGAAAAATCCATTGTACATTATGTTCCTGGGCAAACTCTTGTATTAACTTACTTTAAAATGTGACCCATTGTCACTCTGAATTTGAAGTGGAACACTATAATATAGATTGATTATCTCCAGTGTTTTAATAGTATTATTCTGATTGGCTTTCCCCAAGGGAATGACCACTAAATATCCAGAATAGGTGTCCACAGCAGTACATTGGCATCCTTCTTCCCAAATTAAGGGACCAATATAATCAGTTCACTGTATTTGCCCAGGCAGCTTGCCATGTGCCACTTGTCCTTTCCTGGTTGTGGCAAGCTTCTATGCTTAATTGTTGACAAATTGGACGCTGTAAAATAACAAATTTAATGAGATCTATAGTTAAATACCTCGGTCCTGAGCCCACCTGTATGTTGTTGTTTCTCCCAAATGGCCACATTTTTGGTGTGCGCATGAAGTTGAACATTTTAAGTTGGCTGGAGTCTGGATCAACTTCTGCTGCTTGAATTTGGGTTTGTTCGTCTCTAATAGAGTTACACCATTGTTTCCTAGAATTTGGGACACTGAGCATCTACATGAAAGACTGAAAGAGTAGTAGTTTGAACAGTTTCCCAAATGTAAGACCATAATTCCTTTCCCCATAGCTCTTTGGAGTGAATTTGCCAGTTATTCTTTATGCTTAGGGGAAGCCAAATGGCCAGTCTGTTCATTGGCTACTGACCAAGAATCTGTGTAAATATGACATTCTGTTAAATTTTTTGTTTTAGAGCCTGACATACTGCGTATAATTCAGCAAATTGACTATTCTTAGTATAACTCTTTCTGGCCTCTGGAAATTTCCTGTTCTAGAAACACAAGGGCTCTGTTTTGTTTTTTCCATAAGCTCCAGTTGGCATATAGTTCATTGATTGATACAGGTTATTTTATGTCACGGGGTATCTGCTCTCCATCCAAAGATAGATTACTGAGATAAACTTTAGAATAATTCAGTTAAACGTCTTAGCAATAAAATATAACAGCAAGGAGCTATCTGGGAAGTGGGTCTTGGTCAACATAGATCTGTTAATAAAACTAGAATTTACTATTAAGTGAAACATTTTTTGTGAAGGCATTAACCCTCTAGCCAGGGTTAATGGTTAGTCCCATCAAACAAAAAATGAGGTTTATCTGGGAGCTGGGAAAAGTCAAGCAGCCATCTTGGATTTCCCCGTGCCCTGACTGTTTGATTTATAGCCTTTGTTTACCTATTTTAAATTCCTTGATTTAGAAGTAGACAGTTGCCATGTTCTAAGAACATCAGGATAGCAAAAGTCTGACAATGAAGGATTAATTTTTTGTAGAAAAAATTCTTCATAGATGATTGTGAAATAATATTTATTTACTTTACCAAAGTTGCAAAAGATTTTAAAAACAAATATAAATCACTTAAAGGCAAAGAAATTCACAGTCTTGTTATCAAAAGCCATATCCCGAGAAAGCTGTTCTCTTAACAGAGAAAACCAAGTTCCAGTCTGATACCAGCTTACTGTTAATAACAAAATTTGTTTATCTAATAGTTAATTTAATCTTAAAGATTTCTGTAAATGTTGAAGAGGTGATATTTTTACAAAGTTGTTGTTATTCAGTCGCTAAGTCATGTCTGACTCTTTGCCACCCCAGGGACTGCAGCACTCCAGACTTCCCTGTTCTTCACCATCTCCCTGAGTTTGCTCAAACTCATGTCCACTGAGTCAGTGATGCCATCCAACCACCTCATCCTCTGTCTCATCCTTCTCCTCCTGCCGTCAAAATTTCCCAGCATCAGGGTCTTTTACAGTGAGTTGGCTCTTTGCATCGTGACCAAACAAAGTATTGGAGTTTCAGCTTTAGCATCAGTCCTTCAAGTGAATATTCAGGGTTGATTTCCTTTAGGATTGACTGGTGGTTTGATTTTGCTGTCCAAAGGACTCTGCAGAGTTTTCTTCAACACCAGTTCGAAAGCATCAGTTCTTTGGCGCTCAGCCTTCTTTATGGTCCAACTCTCACATCCACATATGACTACTGGAAAAACCATGGTGTGTGTGTGTTAGTCATTCAGTTGTGTCCAACTCTGCAACCCCATGGACTGTAGCTCACCAGGCTCCTCTGTCCATGGCATTCTCCAGGCAAGAACACTGGAGTGCGTTGCCATTCCCTTCTCCAGAGGATCTTCCCAACCCAGGGATCGAAACCAGGTCTCCTGCATTGTGGGCAGTCTCCTGCATTCTTTACCATTAGCACCACCTGACTTACTATGGAAAAACCATAGCTTTGACCATACAGACCTCTGTTGGCAAAATGATGTCTCTGCTTTTTAATACACTGTCCAGGTTTATCATAGCTATTCTTCCAAGGAGCAAGCGTCTTTTAATTGTTTTTACAAAGGCATCAGAATAAAGCCATAACTATAATGACAAAAGACTTTATTTAATAATTTTATTTATTGATTTATTGGCTCTGCTGGGTTTTCATAGCTGTGTGGGCTTTATCTAGTTGTGGCGAGTGGGGGCTAGTCTCTAGTTGCGGTGCACAGGCTTATGGTGGTGGCTTCTCTTGTTGTGAAGCAAGGGCTCTGGAGCCTGCTGGCTTCAGTAGTTGCAGTGCTAGCGCTCAGTAGTTGCCATTCCGACTCTATAGAGCACAGGCTCAATAGCTGTGGTGCACAGGCTTAGTTGCTCTGTGGCATGTGGGATCTTCCAGACCAGAGGTCGAATTCGCGTCTCCTGCTTTGGTAGGTGGATTCTTTACCACTGAATCAAAGTTTAATTTAAAAGCACTTATCTCATTTACATTTTCTTTCCTTAAAAATTTCTTCACATTGAGTTACTTTCCTTGCTGACAAATTTGTAAAGGAATCAGCAAGATTTTATTTAGCTTATATTAAGCTTAGACACAGTGAAAGTATTCTACTGATTATTATATGATGACTCTAAGACATGTCTATACTGATTAATTCAACAGACTTAAACCATCTTCAATAGCAGATATCGTCTTGGTACCAAACATTTCCCAGATCATGTGGTCCTAAAATTTATCTTGGCCAGTTTTTTAGATATTTAGCTTTAATTTGTAAGCACTTTTAAGTCAGTTAAATAGAGCTCATTTACAAATTAACTTTAGCAATGTTACCCAAGGACAAAGACAAATACTGAGACATACACATATATCCAGACAGGCAGCGGTTTCAGTTTCTGTTGGAGATTTAAAATGTCTCTTGGTCTCCTTTCTTTTCCCCTGTCATCTCCTGAGAATGAACTTCTTTTTGTTAACCTTACCGTGCTCCTTTCAATATTTTGCTTGTACAGTCTTTACAGCAGCTTTTTCAGCTACCAACTGGAAAGTGGACACTTGGTCAGCTAAAATGTAGTTTTGACATTGTAACGTGGACAGTCCCCTTGCAGGTCGCATAATTCTTTCTCCAGTTTTGACTTCTTTTCAACCAGTTTTAATTTGGCTTCTTGAACCTTACAGTAGGCAGAGAGGATCCAGCATCTCTGATCCGTCACAGTACATTTTTGTTCTTTGTCAGTTGGCAAGAGCCGCAAACATTCAATAACTTTTGAAGGTTCAGCCCTCTTTAATTTCGGGTCCCAATTCTCACACAATCCAGTGGCTATGTCCCACTCAGTAGCTAACAAGAAGTAAGGCAGGTCTTCCCATCTGGAAATAAAGACTTCATTAATCTTAATATCTTCTTAAAGAGTGGCATTTTGCTTCACGAATCCTGCTCACAGCGCCGATTTATGTTTTGCCAAAAGTTTTACTTTCGTTTTAGGTTCGAAGGATTCATTAACAAAAGAAACCACTCGTTACACACAAATAAACAATTTCATTTTTTTGTAGAAGATTATTTGACTTAATTTCAATATACAGTCATTAAAAGAAAAGAAATAGAAGTGTAACAGTGTATACAACACCAAATTGGGCTGACAACCTACATCCAGACTTGAACAGCCGTGAGAAGTTAACAGCAATCTGGAGGCCCAGTTGGAAAAGATCAGGGTGGTACATCTACCCCACGGGTGAGACTTCAGATTGCAGTTTTGGGGGCTCCTGCTTATTATAGTCCTATGCTGCAAACTGATATCTTCATCAGTTTGCTAGCAAAAAAGCAGCTCTGGTTTTACTTTAACTTTACAATGCTGTTTATTTCATCTTGTTAGTCATAAGACTTCTAAGATCCTGGAGGTGGGACTGGGCTGGCCAGGCCCTTAGGGGCTTAGAGATTTCAAGTCCCACTCCCTTTCTTCTCTAAAGTGCCTCTTGACTTGCTAGTACACGTTGGTGTGCCTGCCAGGCAGACATGTAGTCCAGGCAGAGTCCGGGCAAGGTCAGAAGTCGGGTCAGAGGCCTGCTGCCTTACTTCTGAAGTCTGAACAAGACTGGTGGTGGTGGTTAAACCACCAAGTCGTGTCTGACTGAGCTCGCCAGGCTCTTCTGTCCATGGGATTTCCCAGGCATGAATACTGGAGTGGGTTGCCATTTCCTTCTCCAGAACAAGATTACCTCTATTTTAATTTCCCTAATAATCCTTAAAAAAAAAAAAAGTATAGAGTGCTTTGATAAAACTTAATCTCATTTTAAATAGAAAGCTGTCTACTTCTAGTGGCTACTTGAAAGTAGCTTTTAATGAGAGTTCATTGAAGGATTGATTTAGGAAGTGGGCTTGGGTTAATGGATAGGAGAGGAGAAGATATTTTAAATAGAAGGGAAAGCATAACAAGAGGTAATGAAAATTGAGGTAAGCAAAGAAATTGGTTTAAAACTTAGTCCTTTTTTAGAACTACCTTGCTCTAGAAATAAATAATAAAAATGATTTATTTTCTCTTCATCCAGTCTGTGGCTCCAGCAGCCTTATTTTTAGCAGCCAAAGTAGAGGAGCAGCCAAAAAAATTGGAACACGTCATCAAGGTAGCACACACTTGTCTCCATCCACAGGAGTCACTTCCTGATACCAGGAGTGAGGTAGGGGGTTGATTAATTGCATACATCTGTTTTTCTTAATTTATGTTGATCATAACTTAGTTTTGCAACTTTGATTTACGGAAATCTCAATGTGGACTGTTAAAGGAACTTTTAGTGTTTGTTTTTTCCTTAAAAAACGTCATAGAAATTTTATGGCTAAAGTTAATTATATTTTTTCTGGTAAAATTGGAAAATGCAGAAAAAGAAGAAAATATATTAACTAGGTATAATTTGTACCACAGATACATAAATGAACCACTATTTCCAGCTGCTTTTCTATAAGTAGCTGTACATGTATATATTTTATACCTACTTTTTTCACTCACTGTATGTCAAATATTTCCACATCAATTCTCTACTTTCTTTAAATATTGATATAGAATTTCATCATGTACATACATACATTTTAACCATTATCTCTCAAGATAATTTCCAGCTTTTTACTGGAAATATCTCTATGGAGAACATTATTTTTGTTAATGAATTTTAAAAAAATGGATCCTGTCACTTATGTGTTTAACTTTTTTTTTTTTTTAAATTAGTATAACTTTTATTATTTACCCTTTTATGTAATATTATGAACCCACGACACTTTATTATTTTTTTTTTGTGTGTGTTTAACTTTTTAAGAAATTCAAGTATGCTCATTTCTTAGAAAAGAACTCAAACACTGAAGAATCATTTAAAGTAAAAGTCAAAGCTCATCTCCCCTTCTTCTGCTAGGAGAATACTGTTGATTATAATTCAGATATATATTCTTTTACCCCTTTATCCTTTGTGTCTACAAAAGTGTCGTGTCCCCCCGCCCCGCCCCCCCCCCCCCCCCCCCCCCCCCCGCCTCCTTCCATCTTTCCTTGACCTTATGAAGAAGGGAAGCTCCTGGCTTTAGAATTCAGTGATTGGGGAGCGATGAGTTTGAAGAAAAATTACAGATTTCTGTACCACATTATTAGTCTTTTACAGTGGATGTATGTAATAGACAAGTGGAATTGTGGAATCACAACTCCTAGTTATATGAGAGAAGTGTTTAGAATAGCAGTGTTTTGACTTCATTTTCTCTCTGGGCTATATCAGAGTAGTTTTGTTGAAAAGTTGTTGGTCTGAACTTTTATTTATGTTAGAGACTACTGACTGCCATTGGTCTGTAGAGTTGACCAAATAACAAAATTTTAATGAAATAAGTAAAATCCCAACTTTTTTTCTTTAAAGTATATTTATATGACTTCTCACCTGAGTCTGTCTTACGAGGTGACTCGGAGAAGATACTTTCTTCATTATGTGGAAAGGAGAGCTACCATAGTTTACATCCTTATTGGACTCACTCAAGATCATAAAGTTTAGTGGAAAGTTAGCAGCAACATAAGTCTCTTAACTCTTGACTCAAGCTTCATTTCTCCTAGAGCTCTAGATCTGTCCAATAAAAATATAAGGGAAGTCACATATGTAATTAAAATTAAGCTTTTCATTAAGCTTTTATTTTAAATTTTTATTTAAATTTAAAATTAAACATATTTTATATAGCATTTTGTTTAACCCCAAAATATAGTCATTTCAGCATATAGTCAATTTAAAAACATTATTAATGAAGTGGTTTTTAACATTATTTTTTAACTAAGTCTGTAAAATTCACTGTGTAGTCTACATTCATAGCACATATCAGATGCTTGATGGCCATGTATGGATAGTGGCCACAGTAATGGCTGTACAAATCTGAAGGAATTTTGTTTGTTCCATTTTCTTGTGAACTCCTCTGTGAATTTTAAAAATCTAGCATTACTCTAAAAGGAAAGTTTAACAGGAATCAAATGTTTGAGAGTGTGTACAGTACTGTGGGAAGGCTGAGCAGTGTGTTTTGAGGATATTAAAAAAAGGTATGTTAGTATTTTAATTTTAAAAAAGTTTTTAATCTGTATCATATGAACATTATAATCTAAAATGTCGGTCTGAAAATGAACCAGATATCCGGTGTTTATTCTGTAGCCATTTATAAATAAAGTGACGTCGTTTGCTTATTTATCTGTTTCTTTTTTTAAAGGAGAATCTGTTAGGGATAAGGATTAATTTCAGTTCCTACTTTCCCTCATAACTGCACCCTTGCCTTTTGTGGCTTTGGTTTCCTTTGGAGATTGTTAATGTTAGAACTGTCTACACTTTGTTATATACTGTGTGTTTTTAGGGAATAATTTATGTATCTTCTCACACCTGCAGGCTTACCTGCAGCAAGTTCAAGATCTGGTGATACTAGAAAGCATAATTCTGCAGACTTTAGGTAAGTTTATTTTCCTTTAAACCATTAAAGAAATATGTATGCAATATAATGTTTTTCTAATTTGCAAAATAGGAAACAGGAAGAGAATTTCTTGGGAAGGTTTTTGCACATTGTAGAGATTGCTTAACCCTGCCACAGAGAGAATGAAGGCACCACCGATCTTTGAGATAGCCATTAGCAGAGTTTTTCTGCTTGTTTTTATTCTAGGATTCAATATTTGCTTTCTAAGATTTGGCAGTTTTTAACTTTCTGGTAAATAATGGCAGAAACTATCTAAATAACTTTTTTCCTTCCAGGAGTTTTTATAGTCTGTCCTTATATTTAGATAACAGTATTTGTTTTTAAAATTGGTAATCAGTGTTCAAAACAGTGGAGTGGAAATGGAAGAATTCAAGCTAAATTGAATTGTTCTTTTGGGCTATCATTTTTCTCTTTAGCTAGGAGAGTATTTCATGAGTTATGTTGGAAAGTTGCTGATCAGCCTGTATTTTTTGCATATACACCTATACACACAATTCTTCAAAGTTTGTCTCTGAAATTAGTTTCTGCTAATTTTTGCTTTAAATTAGTTATCTTCAAGGTAACCATACTTTAGGGGACAATGATATTTTTCTGGTGGGGTACATTTTTATTAATATTTTAATGTGGAAACCTGTAAAATCTAACTTGTAAGAATCAGTTGTGCTTGTAGAATAATTTGCATCAAGTAAATTTTGCAATAGAATTTTCTTCTTTTTTTTAATCAGTTTGCGTCAGACTTTATTTTTATTTTTTGGGCGTGCTGCACATAGCTTCTGGGATCTTAGTTCCTTGACAGAGATTGAGGCCAGGCTCTTGGCAGTGCAAGTGTGGAGTCCTAAACACTGGACCGCCAGGGAATTGCCTAGAATTTCTTTACTCGTACTAGATAATTTTATTTACATACACAAAAAGAAACTTCTTCAAAAATTTTTATAGACATACTACATTTTGGTTAAGATCATTTAGAGTTAGATAAAATGATCAGTACTTAATGATGATTGAGATGATGAAAAGGAAGAAGACTGAGGTAAGAGAGGAATAGGTTTTAAAAATGTTTTCTAACAGTTAAGCTTCTGGAGATAACCATTATGTAACTGCTTCTTTTCCAATCATATATTCTGTTGTTCCTAAGAACATGCTTTGTATTCAGATGTTATTGATAGCTCAGGGACCTTGAGACGGCATTAACTTTATTATCTGAGTGGTGCCTTTGAAGATAATCTTAAGAGTGTGCTGCATACTTTATGTGACTCTCAGCCTCTCAATAGGCAGCTTTGGGACCAGAAAATGAGAGAATCCTTCAATGATGACTCAGATAAAAGCAGTATAAAATATTCTGAGTATCTAGCTTTTTAACCAGTTACTTTTTTTTAGGCTTTGAACTAACAATTGATCACCCACATACACATGTGGTAAAGTGCACTCAACTTGTTCGAGGTAAGGAATCCCAATCCCAACTTGAGATGCTATCTTAAATTGTTTTACCATTTAGAGGCTAAGATTTACTGTGGGCTAATACATAATACAGCTGCTTTGGCCAAAATTTAAATTAAAAAACCTACCTGGCTTTTTAATTTCAAAATGAGTGATTTGAGCTTTTCTGTTAAGTTCTTGTAGTGTTTTTAGGTGATATCTGGATAAAGTGAGTTAGTTTCTTGTTTATCAAAGCTGGAGGCAGATTTTGAAAAGTCACTAAAATCAAAGTATCCAATAGCAATTTTAAGGATGTCTTGGGAGTGAAAATGAAAGTGAAGTCTCTCAGTTGTGTCCAACTCTTTGTGACCCCATGGACTGTAGGCTACCAGGCTTCTCCGGCCGTGGGATTTTCCAGGCAAGAGTACTGGAGTGGGTTGCTATTCCTCCTCCAGAAGATCTTCCCGACCCAGGGATCGAACCCAGGTCTCCCGCATTGTAGGCAGATGCTTTATGGTCTGAGCTACCAGGGAAGTGACCTTAATTTGATTCTAGGGTTGATTGTCCTGGGCACTGTTAAAGGCCACCCAGAAGGCTGTGTAGAATTGATTTGAACTTTCATCATTGTTAATTCCTTGGCAGACTTGCTTTTTATTCTAATTTAACTTTAGTAGCCATGATTGCATTAAACCTAGTTTTTCTTTTTATTCAAATAGTAATATCAAGAAAGAATATCTTAAATACTATTGTACATTTAAATGCAGTTTCTTGTTTTGTAGACTTTCACTGATAATTGGCCTTACCATGTGTTTCATCTGAAAACTCAGGAGTTTTTTGAGTTCTTTATATTTTGAGAGCATTAAAAGGTTTACATTGAGCAAGCTTAGTGTTAAACAGAGATGGGTTAAATACGTTAATATTTCATCTAAGGAAGATTAAAATTTACTTTGTCACCCAAACAAATTTTTTTGAAGGAGGAATTTTTTTATTGTAATATGTTTAAATAATTTATGTCATTTGCTAATTTTTTCCAAATATATAAAGGTCTTCTGATCTTGCCTCCAGATTAGTTCATCCCCTAGCTTAGAATTTCTCAGTGGACTCTTATATCAGGAACTCTAAGTTACTTGTTAAAAATGCTCATTGTTACTACATCCTTCTCCAAAAGTGTTGAGTTAGACTCTAGGGAGGATGCCCAGGAATTGCATTTTAAATATGTAACTCATATACTAGGTGTGCAGAATAAAGCTTAAGTCCCTAAGTCTGGAAGCAGCATAATTGTTAATATAATTAAAAATCACTTAAACTGTTTCATTTCACAGTGGAATATAAACATCAGGTAGTCAGAGACCATGTCTGTCTCATTTGCCACTGTATTCTCTGCCTTGCAAATATTAAATGCTTAATAAATAATTATTGGGAATGAATGAAACTAATAATTCTCCCCCCCCCCCTTTCTTTTTTTTTTAGCAAGCAAGGACTTAGCACAAACTTCTTACTTCATGGCAACCAACAGGTTTATATTTTAATATTTTTCTCTTCTCTTTTTGGGGTAGTACTTTACTTGGGTTGGAATTGTCACTTTTTGTTGGGTATATGGAAAGATGATAGGTCTGGCACTTAGTAAATTAGAAGCCAAAGATCTAGTCGAGGATCTCTGTTATTAATAGAATGTGTTATAGACAAGTCCATGGTAAATGTTGATTTTTCTGCACAGTTGTCATGCGTGCCTTAAAATTTCCATGCTGCTTTTTAAATTTGTTAAGGTGATACAATATTTTTGTGTCTGATTGATAGCCAACTTAATTCTGCATTTGTTACTTTGCATTAAAATATCCAAAAGCATAGTTCTGAAAGTTTATTTAAACTTGGATTTCATTGCCAGTCGGTGACTAAAAGCTAATTTAGAGGATTCTGCTGTAATTGTGGTATTTTAAAAGGTTCTTTTTGTCTTCACTCACTCCCAGATGAATGGGCACATACATGTGCAAAGAGTTGTGACATTTTTTCTTTTTCGTTCCCTTTTTAAAGAAAAAAATTAACACATAACTTGTATTACCAAATGATTTGCTCATTCTTATCTCCGATCTACTGCATAGTTCTTGGAAACCAAAGATACTTCTAATGACCGTCGAGGCTAAGAAGTTCATTTTTATAGCCTGATGGGAGAGATTTTAAAAATAAACTATCAAGCATATTCACACTTGAGAGAGTGATTATCTATTCATTATTTAAAAGAGACCAGACCTATGACTGGCAAGAAGTAAGATAATTTTTAGGATAGTTCCTTAAGTATTTGATTTAGGGATTGTACATATTAAGTCTTAAAGTTTTTCTTATCTTCGGAACTTCTTCTCAGGATGATTAATCCTTATTTAAAAAAACTGAGTACTCAGTCTTTTATTTTTGTTTTTATTTTTTCCGGTCCTTCATCAGTGTGGATTAAATGATGTATAGTCAAAAAAATTAGAAAAGTTGTTACCTGAGGAGATGGGTTAATGGAAAGATTAGGTTGGGTGTTGGATCAGAGCTCTGGCTATTTCTTGCCTTTCTTGCTCTCCAGTGTTTTTATCTTTTTTTTTTTTTTAATAATGGAGAGTTTTTTAACTTTGGGTTCAGAATGGAGAGCTCATGATACTCTCTTGTTTCCTTCCCTCTGATGTCAGCCTGCATTTGACCACATTTAGCCTGCAGTACACACCTCCTGTGGTGGCCTGTGTCTGCATTCATCTGGCTTGCAAGTGGTCCAACTGGGAGATCCCAGTCTCAACTGATGGGAAGCACTGGTGGGAGTATGTTGACGCCACTGTGACCTTGGAACTTTTAGATGGTAAGTTTTAGAGTAAGGGACCTTGAAAAGCACTTGTTCTTGATCTGTCACATATCTGGCCAAAGGTGACTTGATTTCAGATGAATACAGTTAGTTGAGGTTATTCTTGTTTCATTACTTCTGCCTTTCTGAGTTTTTCTTAAATGTTCTAATTTCATTTGTAGAACTGACACATGAATTTCTACAGATTCTGGAGAAAACCCCCAACAGGCTCAAGCGAATTTGGAATTGGAGGGTAAGAATTATTGCTGTCACTTTCTTTTGACTGCACCAGTGAGATACCAGATATGTATATGGATACGTACCCTAGGTTTGGAATTTCCCTTTTTTATAGTTATGCAATAGTCATGATTTCAACTTCATAGCTGGGATACTGGCTCAGAAATCCATTGATGTAGGTAACAGCAGGATTTATTTTGTGTTTTGCAACTCTTCGTGGTTTAGTCATTTGGTCAGCAACATTGGTTGAGTATTTTTTTGTGTGTAGAGAGTGTTAAGGGGGAAAATTTGGCTTTTCTGAGACATAGAATTTTGGCTTCTTATAGGAAAGATACAGAGTTAGGTGGTTAGAGCTGGTATTGTAATTTTATCTTTGACATTACTTGATTTTAAATGGATTTTAGAATTTTGTTTTTATGTAGATCACAGTTCAAAGTTCTGTTTTGGGTATTCTTGAAAGCCTTATCTATGATTAATGAAATTATTCTCTCTTTTTTTTCAGTGTCAGAAAGCTTAAAAGTATTCCTTGCATTTCTGAGAATTCTAGACAGGATGCTTAATTTCTTTCTCTTAAGTTGAGTTATAGAAAATGAGTTTGCCTAGGGTTCAAAGGAGATTTGAGAGGACACAATTCTTACCTTTTACTTTTGTGTAAAACTTTACCAAAATTTCTAGAGTTTAGACTAACTAATCATAAGACAAGAATGGTCATGAATGAATACAACTTCATTATTTTTATTGCCTTGTAGTGGGATCTTAGTTTCCTGTGTGTGTGTATGTGATCAGTTGTTTCTGACTCTTTGTGACCCCGTGGACTGTAGCCCACCAGGCTCCTCTGTCCATGGAATTTTCCAGGCAAGAATACTGGAGTGGGTTGCCATTTCCTTCTCCAGGGGATCTTCCCGACCCTGGGACTGAACCCACATCTCTTGCATCTCCTGCAGTAGAAGGTGGATTCTTTACCACTGCGCCACCTGGGAAGCCCCTATCTTCATGAACAGTATTAGAACCTGGGACCCTGGCAGTGATAGCACCGAGTCCTAATCACTGGACTACCAGAGAATTCCCAGAGTATTACATGTTTCACTATGGGTACTATGTTGTACAGAGGGTCTCTTGGATATATTCATCTTGCGTAACTGAAACTTTTTGCCCTTTGACTAATATGTCCTTGTTTCCTCCTTCCCTCAGTCTCTGGAAACCACTATTCTACTGTCTACGAGTTTGACTATTTTAGATTCCTCACATAAGTAAGATCATATAATACTTGTCTTTCTGTGTCTGGCTTATTTTACTTAGCAAAAGGTCCTCCAGGTTCATCTGTGTTGTTGCAAATAGCAGAATTTCCTCTTTTTAAAATTTTTTTAAAAATTTAAATTGTGGTAAAATACAAATAACATAAAATTTACTGTCTTAGCCATTTTTAAGTATATAGGTATTACATGCATTTATACTGTACTCCAGTGTTCTTGCCTGGAGAATCCCAGTGACGGGGGGGCCTGGTGGGTTGCCGTCTATGGGGTTGCACAGAGTCAGACATGACTAGCATGACTTAGCAGCAGCAGCAGCATACTGTTCTGCAGTCATTATTACCATCTATCTCCATAACTTCATTTTCTAAAACTAAAACTCTATAACCATTAACAATGATTGTCTATTCCCTGACCGCCACAATTATATTTCATTATTTAGACTATTGGTAGTAGCTGTAAACCTCATGTGAGTGGAATCATACATTATTTGTTTTTTTGTGACTGACTGATTTCAATTAGCACGTCCTCAAGGTTTATCCATGTTGTATCATATTGTAGAATTTTAATTGTTCTCTTAAAAGGCTGAATAATCTTTTGTGTGTTTGTACCACATTTTATTTATCCATTCTTCCATCAAGAGACATTTGGTTTATGTCTTCTGCATTTTAGCTTTTGTATATAATGCTACAATGAATATTGGTGTACAGTATCTCTTTTGAGACCCTGCTTTCTATTCTTCTGGGTACATACCCAGAAGTAGAGTTGCTGGGTCATATGCTAGTTCTGTTTTTCTTTTGTTGAGGAACCACTGCACTGTTTTCCATACTGGCTGTACCATTTTACATTCCTACCAAACAGTTCACAGAGTTCCAATTTCTTTACGTCTTTGTTAACACTTGCTGTTGATGTTTTTTTTTTTTTTTTGGCAGTAGCCGTCTAAAGGATGTGAAGTGGTCTTTGATTTGCAATTCCCTAATAATTAATGATGTTAAGTATTTTTCATATTCTTATTGACCATTTGTGTATCTTCTTTGGAGAAATGTCTATTCTAGTCCTTTGTCCATTTTCAGATTGGGTTTGGTTTTTTTGTTGTTGAGTTTTAGTTCTCTGCACATTCTGGATACTAATCTCTCATCAGATATATAATTTACAAATATTTTCTCCTATTATGTGTGGGCCTTTTACTCCAGATAGTGTCTTTTGATGCACAAAATTTAAATATTTCCATGGAGTCATTTTTGGGGAGGGGTGTGGTCACCTGGCCTTTGCTGTCATATCTAAGAAGTCATTGCTAAATGCAATGTTGTGAACCATTTGTTTCTTGTTTTCTTCTAAGAGTTGTATTTTTTTTAAATTGGAGGATAATTGCTTTACAGTGTTGTGTTGGTTTCTGCCTTGTAACAAGGGAACCAGCCATTGTTGTTGTTCACTTGCAAAGTCATGTCTGACTCTTTGCAACCCCATGGACTACAGCATGCCAGGCTTCCTTGTCCTTTACTATCTCCTGGAGTTTGCTCAAACTTGTGTCCATTCATGCTATCCAGCCATCTCATCCTCTGTTGTCCCCTTCTCCTCCTGCCTTTAATCTTTCCCAGCGTTGGTTTTTTCCTTTGAGTTGGCTCTTTGCATCAGGTGGCCAAAGTATTGGAGCTTCAGCATCAGCATCAGTCCTTCCCATGTATATTTAGGGTTGATTTTCTTTAAGATTGACAGCTTTGATCTCCTTGTCGTCCAAGGGACTCTGAAGAATCTTCTGTAGCACCACAATTCAAAAGCATCAATTCTTTGGTATTCAACCTTCTTTATGGTCCAACTCTCAGATCTGTATGTGACTACTGGGAAAACCATAGCTTTGACTATACAGACCTTTGTTGGCAAAGTGATGTCTCTTCTTTTTAATATACTATCTAGGTTTGTCATAGCTTTTCTTCCAAGGAGCAAGCATCTTAATTTCATGGCTGCAGTCACCATCTGCAGTGATATTGGAGCCTAAGAAAATAAAATCTTCCACTATTTCCACATGGTAATGTATATATTTCAGTGCTACTCTCAATTCATCCTACCTTCTCCTTCCCCCACAAGGGGAAGTTCTCTGTTCACAAGTCTGTACTCTGTGTCTATTTCTGCCCTGGAAATAGGATCATCAATACTATTTTTCTAGATTCCATATATATGCATTCATATATGATATTTGTTTTTCTCTTTCTGACTTACTTTATTCTGTATAACAGGCTCTACGTTCATTCACTACAATTCAACTGCCTCTAATTCATTCCTTTTTGTGGCTAAGTAACATTCCATTGTATATAGGTATCACAATTTCTTTATCCATTCATCTGTCGATGGACACCTAGGTTGCTTCCATGTCCTGGATATTGTAAATAAGTAGTGCTGCATTGAACATTGGGGTACATATGTCTTTTAGAATTATGGTTTTCTCAGGGTATATGAGTTTTATTGTTTTGGATCTCAGATTTGGATCCTTTAATCTGTGTTGAGTTAATTTTTTATATGGTATTAGGTAAGGGTCCAATCTCATTCTTTTGCATGTGGATGTGTAGTTTTCCTAGCATCATTTGTTGAAAAAAACTGTCCTTTCCCCATTGAATGGTCTTGGCACCCTTGTCAAAAATCATTTGACCATGTATGACAAGGTTTATTCTGGACTAATGTTCCATTTATCTATATGTCATTACCCCATTGTTTTGATTACTGTGGCTTTGTAGTAAGTTTTGGAATCAGGAAATGTGAGTCTTCCTGCTTGGTTTTTCTTTTTTTTTTCCCATTTATTTTTATTAGTTGTAGGCTAATTACTTTACAGTATTGTAGTGGTTTTTGTCATACATTGACATGAAATCAGCCATGGATTTACATGTGTTCCCCATCCTGATCCCCCCTCCCGCCTCCCTCCCCATCCCATCCCTCTGGGTCTTCCCAGTGCACCAGCCCTGAGCACTTGTCTTATGCATCCAACCTGGGCTGGCGATCTGTTTCAAACTTGATAGTATACTTGTTTCAATGCTATTCTCTCAGAATATCCCACCCTTGCCTTCTTCCACAGAGTCCAAAAGTCTGTTCTATTGGTTTTTCATTTTCGAGATTGTTTTGTCTATTCAGGGTCCTTTGAGATTCCCTATAAATTGTAGGATGGGTTTTTTATTTCTGCAAAAAATGTCATTGGAATTTTGACATGGATTGCAGGAATCTATACATTGTTTTGAGTATGCACATTTTAACAATACTAATTTTTTTTTTCGTTTTTTTTTTTTTTTTCAATACTAATGTTTGAATTAATGTTTGGATCCAGAACACAGGATGAGTTTCCAGTTATGTTTTCCATAATATCTTTCACCAGTGTCTTGCAGTTTTCATTGTTGAAGTCTTTTGTGTGTTAGTCGCTGAGTCGTGTCAGACTCTTTGTGACCCCATGGACTGTACAGCCCACCAGGTTCTTCTGTCCGTGGGATTTTCCAGGCAAGGATGCTGGAGTGGGTTGCCATTTCCTTCTCCAGGGGATATTCCCAACCTAGGGATTGAACCCCGGTATCCTGCATTGCAGTCAGATGCTTTACCATCTTGAGCTACTAGGGAAGCCCATGCAACTCTTTTACATGGTAATTTCTAAGTACTTTGTTCTTTTTGATGCTGTTGTAAATGGAATTGTTTTCATATAATTTCATTTTCAGATTGTTTACTCTTCATTCAGGGAACTGTAACTGAATTTTATTTATCCTGCTGCTTTGCCTAATTCATTGATTAATTCTAATAGAATTAGAAAAAATAATTTTTTGATGGAATCTTTGGAGTTTTCTACATATAAGCTCATGTCATCTACAGACTGATAATATTACTTCTTTTCCAATTTGGTGCCTTCTATTTCTTTTTCTTACCTGATTGCTGTGGCTTGGACTTCCAGAAGTGTGTTGAATGCAGGTGTTGAAAGTGAGCATCCTTTCCTTATTCTTGATATTAAGGAAAGCTTTCACTCTTTCTCCATTGAATGTGATATTCACTGTGGGTTTTTTATATATGGCTTTTATTATGTTTAGATAGTTTTCTTACATCCCTCGTTTGTTGAGTATTTTTATCTTGAAAGTGTGTTGAATTTTGTCTGATGCTTTTTCTTCATGAATTGAGATGATCATGTGTTGTTTTTTTTTTCCCCTTCATTCTGGTTATGTGATGTGCTTGTGTACATGCTCAGTTGTGTCTTTTTGTGACATATTATATCAATTGATTTCCGTATGTTGAACTGTCTTTATATTCCAGGAATAAATCCCACCTGGTCATGATATGTAGTTTTTAAAATAGGCTGTCAAATTCATTTTGCTAGTATTTTGTTGATGATTTTTTATCTGTTTTTAAGGGATATTGACCTGTAGTTTTCCTTTCTTACAGTGTTTTTGTCTGATTTTGGTATCAGGGTGATGCTCACCTCATAGAATGAGTTGAGAAGTATTCCTCCTCTTATTTTCTGGAGAGTTTGGAAAGGATTGGTGTTACTTCTTGTGGTGGCTTCTCTCGCTGTGGAGCACGGGCTCTGCGTGTACAGGCTTCAGGAGTGGGAACACACAGGCTGAGTAGTTAAGGTCACGGGCTCTAGAGCCTGTGCTCAGTAGTTGTTGTGCATGGGCTTAATTGTTCCATGTCGTGTGGGATCTTTCTGGACTAGGGATTGAACCTGTGTCCTCTTCATTGACAGGCAGATTCTTAACTACGTGACCACCAGGGAAGTCCCCAAATTTTGTTTTTTGATTTTTCTCTATTTTTCTTTTCTTCATTTTATTCTCTGCTCTAATCTTTATTGTATCTTTCTCTCTGCTACCTTTGTGTTTAGTTCCTCTTTTTCTAGTTCCTTAAATTGTCAGTTTGTTATTTTGATATGTTTGTTGATTTGTTTTTGTGTTTCACAGCTTGTGGGATTTTAGTTTCCTGATTTTAGTGTGTTTATAGCTGTAAATTTCTCCCTTAGCATCACTTTTGCTACATCCCTTGTTTTGAAATGTTGTACTTTTGTTTTCCTTTTTCTCTAAGTATTTTCTCATTTCCCTTTTGATTTCTTTGATCCATTGGTTTAATTTCCACAATTTGTGATTGTTTTCCCCCAGTTTTCACTAACTTTTATCTCGTTTTGATTTTTAGTGTGATATGTGTTTTTAAAAATCTTTTGATTAAGTTTGCGGCCTAATATATGGTCTGTCCTGGAAAATGTCTCATATTCACTTAAAGAATGTATGCTGCTGATTTGGGGGAGAGTGTTCTGTATATATTTGTTGGGTCTAGTTAGTTTATTTATTATTTAAGTCCTATTTCCTCATCTTCTGTCTGATCTGTCATTGTGAGGGGGTATTGAAGTCTTCAACTATTACTGTAAAGCCGTCTATTTTTCTTGAATTCTTTTAGGTTTTGGCCTCATATATTTTGATGGCCTGTCACTCAGTATGTAAATGTTTATAACTGGTGTGTCTTACTTCTGTACCTAGCCTTTTAACATATATAAAGTCCTTCTTTGTCTTTTAAAACCTTTTTTGATTTAAAGTCTATTTTGTCTGCTCTTACAATAGCCATGCATGTTCTCCTGGTTACTGTTAGCATTGTATTTCTTTTTCCATCCTTGCACTTTGCTTGTTTGGGTCTTTGGATCTCAGTGGCATATAGATAAGTGTAAGTTGGAGTTTGAGCATATGTTTTTACCCATTCTACAAGTCTGTCTTTTCTTTAAGAGTTTAGTCCACTTACACTTAAAGTAATTACAGATAAGGAGAGACTTACTTCTGTCACAGTGTTTTTTTTTTATAGGCATACCTAGTTTTATCGCACTTTGCAGATATTGCACTTTTTATAATGAAGGTTTGTGGCAGCCTTGCTTTTTTGTTTTGTTTGTGCCATTTTCCCAATAGTATTTGCTTACTTTGTGTCTGTTACATTTTAGAAATTCCTATCATAGTGATATGCCATCAGCAATCCTTAATATTACTACTAAAACTCAAATGATGGTTAGCATTTTTTAGCAATAAGGTATTTTGAATTAAGGTATATGCTTTTTTTTTTTAATAATGCTGTTGCATATTTAATAGACTTAATATAAGGATAATTTTTATATGTACTGGGTAATGAGAAATTTTTTGGTGCTTGCTTTATTATGGTGGTGATGGTTTAGATGCACAATCTGTTCGACTCTTGCGACCCTGTGGACTGTAGCCCACCAGGCTCCTCTGTCCATGGGATTTCCATGCAAGAATACTGGAGTGGGTTGCCATTTCCTTCTCCAGGGTATCTTCCCAAGCTGGGGACTGAACCCGGGTCTCCTGCACTGCAGGCAGATTCTTTACCGACTGAACTACCAGGGAATTCCCTGACTTTATTGTGATATTAGCTTCATTGAGATGGTCTAAAACTGAACCCACAGCATCTCCACAAGTATGCCTGTATGCTTTAGAGCTTTTTGTCCATTTCCTGCATTACTGTTTTTTGTACTTAGTTGATTTTTCACAGGGAAAAATTTTAAACTTTCTTGCTTGTTTTTTGTATTCCAGGCTGTTTTCTTTGTATGTATCATGGGATTATCTTGAACATCCTAAAGTTATAGTACTCTAATTTTTTGTTTTTTCCTTTCAGTTCCTCAGACTTGATATAATTTCCATTGTGCTGTCTTCAAGTTTGCTGATTTTTCTGCCTGTTCAGATCTGCCTTTGAAACCCTCCAGTGCATTTTAATTTCAGTTATTGTACTTTTCAGCTCCAGAATTTCTTTCTGGTTTCTTTAAAAATTTTTATTTTCTTTTTAAATCTCTATCTCATTTTGTTAACATGTTGTTTTCTTAACTTTCCACTTCGTTTCCTTAAGTATCTTTAAGGCCGTTATTTTAACGTCTTTGCCTAGTAGATTTGCCATTGGGTCTTTTTCAGGACAGTTTCTGTTGATTTTTTTTCCCTTTCAAATGGGCTGTACTTTTTGTTTCTTTATATATGATTTTTTGTTGTTGTTGAAGATTGAATGTTTGAATCTAATAACATGGTAACTCTGGAAATCAGATTCCCTCGCTTTCCTGGGGTTTGTTATTTTTTCTTTTTGTATATTTGGGCTGGTGGCTTGATTTTGAGGGATATCTCTGTGCTGAAGATTAGCCTGATATGTAAAATTATGGACTTCTCTTTTCTGAGCCTTCTCCTAGACATTTCTGTCTATGTAGTTTTTTAATGTTCTACCATAGTATCTGGCTCCTAAAGAGGTAAAAGGAAAAAATGAAGTGGGGGAGGAAGGGTATTGGCCCTTTGTATTTGGGGAATTCACTTCAGCCAGAGGAGGAGGGGATCACAACAATGGAGGGAGGTGCAACAACAGTGGTCACCTGCTTCTTTGTACCTCTGTGATTGAAAGCAACAGTCAGCGATCAGAGCACAGATCTCCAGTATTTGCCAGTCAGGCTTCCCCAGGCTGTGAGAGCGCTGCTGTAGGAACAGATGCACAGCTGCCTGGGGCTGAGAGCTGAAATTGAGGGAAATTAAACCCAATTATTTGTCCATGGCTTACTTACCCTGGAAATTACAAGCCTTCAGCAGACTAGTGTTCCAGAATACTTGTATCAGAAAGATTCTGCCTGTGCAGTTGTTGTTTAGGTGGGAGACAGATTCTTGGGGCTTCCTATTCTGCTGTCTTCACAGAGTCTCCCTCCTCTTTTAAGGCTAAATGATATTTCATTGTATGTATAGGCCACATTTTAAAAATCTGTTTCTTTTTTTTTTGTTGGACACTTGGCTTGCTTTCATACCTTAGGTATTGTGCCTCTTTGCGATCTTGTGATTCTTGATTGAAGTTTTAAAAAATCTTAAATCTCCTGATGGTAATAATTGTCAATCTCATCTTAGAGTAGCCTTCTGGTTATGGGCTATCCCAACTCCCAATGCCGCAACAGATACAGGCTACTCATTTCAGTGTTTTTTTCCCCATATGATGAATTACTTGCAGTGAAAAAATGTTATTTGCTTCATTCTAGGCATGGCAGGCTGACAGGAAAACAAAAGCAGATGACCGAGGAGCAGATGAAAACTCTTCGGAGCAGACAATCCTTAATATGATTTCTCAGAGCTCTTCAGATACAACTATCGCAGGTTTAATGAGCATGTCAGCTTCTTCTACCACAAGTGCAGTGCCTTCCCTTCCATCCACTGAAGACTCAAAGAGCAACCTAAGCAATGTGGAGATGTTGTCAAGTGAGCGTTGGCTGTCCTCCCACCCTCCTTTCAAGGTAGAACCTGCTCAGGGTTATCGGAAGAGTGAGAATTTAGCACTTGTAGGAGTTGATCATTCCTTACAACAGGATGGTTCAAATGCGTTTGTTTCCCAGAAACAGAATAGTAAGAGTGTGCCGTCAGCTAAAGTATCACTGAAAGAATACCGTGCAAAGCATGCAGAAGAGTTGGCTGCCCAGAAGAGGCAACTGGAGAACATGGAGGCCAATGTGAAGTCACAGTATGCGTATGCTGCCCAGAATCTCCTGTCTCACCATGATAGTCATTCTTCGGTCATTCTGAAAATGCCCATAGAGGGCTCAGAAAACCCTGAGCGGCCTTTTCTGGAAAAAACTGACAAAACTGCTCTCAAAATGAGAATTCCAATGACAGGTGGAGATAAAGCTGCCTCTGCAAAACCAGAGGAGATAAAAATGCGCATTAAAGTTCACACCGCAGCCGACAAGCACAATTCTGTAGATGACAGTATCACAAAGAGCCGAGAGCACAAAGAAAAGCACAGAACTCACCCATCTAATCATCACCATCATCATAATCACCACTCACACAAACACTCTCACTCACAGCTTCCGGCTGGCACTGGGAGCAAACGTCTGGGTGATCCAAAACATGGTAGCCAGACAAGCACCTTAGCACACAAACCCTATGGCTTGTCTGGCTCTTTCTCCTCTTCCAGTTCTTCTCGTAAAAGGCCCCTCCCTGAAGAGACTGGAGGGGTGGCGTATGATCATTCAGCCAAGACTGCCAAGAGTGCTAAATCCTCTTCCATAAATTTCTCCTTCCCACCTCTTCCTACAATGGCCCAGTTGCCTGGGCATAGCTCAGACACAAGTGGCCTTCATTTTTCACAGCCCAGCTGTAAAACTCGAGTCCCTCACATGAAATTGGATAAAAGCTCTACTGGGGCCAATAGTCACAATACACCCCAGACCACAGACTATCAAGATACTGTGAATATGCTTAACTCCCTTCTCAATGCCCAGGGTGTTCAGCCAACTCAGCCCCCGGCGTTTGAATACGTTCATTCTTATGGAGAATATATGAATCCACGGGCTGGTGGAATGTCCTCCAGATCTGGCAACACAGACAAACCCCGGCCACCACCTCTACCATCAGAACCTCCTCCACCACTTCCACCCCTTCCCAAGTAAAAAAGAAGAGGAGAAAAAAGCTTCTTTAAAAACGCATTTGTTTTTAAACTACTGATTCTGGACTAAGAAAATTACTTCTCATATAAAATATGTCACCCTTCTTGGACTAGGGAATAAATTAATATTGAGACATAGGTGGGAGGATGGTTGAGGACCTTGGTGGTTAATATCTCCTGCCTCAGAAATTTAACTATTTTATTATAGTTTTTACTGGTATTGGAGAGGTGAGAATGTGTTAAAGCTGTGAATGATTCAGAATACTTTCTCTCTTCTTGGCCTCTCCACCTCCTAATTAGGTTGATTAGAGTTGATATCTTCCCTCTTCTTGCTAGGACTGAAATATGGAGGGTTTGTTTTATCAAACAGTTGTGGATCCTTTTGGTGTTTAATATATCAGAAGAGAGGAAGTATTTAAACGTCAAAATCTTTTAAGAGACTTTTAAAAAATAATTTAAAGAAAGTAAGTTATCTGTTTAGTTTTTTTTTTTTTTTATATAATTGGGGAAGGGGTAGGGATTTTGCTGTGTGTATGAGATACACAGTAATGAGTCCTGGGTGGGATTGGAGGGTTGGGGGTGTGTGTAGGCGGGATGGGAAGATAGGATTTTGGCCATGAGTTCTGAGACAGGCTCTGGCCACTTGAAGTGTTTTGACATGTAAGTGTGTAAATAAGTGTGGGTGTGTGTGATATTAAGTGTGTGTGTGTTTAAAAATCATGTTTTATCTTTCCCTCCCTGTCCTTCACCATTTCTACTTCTCGACAGTCTACTAGAGAGAACACAGTGTGGCCTTTCTGAGCATAAAGGGAGGAAGAGGCATATATTTGGCGTGATGATTTCTCCTATTCTTTATGTTGTAATTGGAGGTAGCCTTCTAAATTCTAGTTTGGGCAGGTGCAGTCAATAGTCTGACTTTGGACTCTTAGACAAACTTCCTTTTTTACCCTCTTTTTCCTTTTGATAGAGAACAAAGATGGGATCGAGGAAGAAGGCTGGAGAGCTAGGCTGGCTTTGGCCCTACAGAATTGTATCCCCCCCGCACACCCCCCCCCCCCCACGTTGGGCTTTAGGAAAGTGTTCAAGTGAGAGCAGTCTCAGGGTCTCTGAATGGAAGTGGGGTGTGCTATCCTTTCTGTGAAGCCCAGACCATATGTGAGAATAGTTCTGGGAGAAGCCATGGAGCTAGAGGATACTGAAAACAATGAAAATTGTGATTGGGAATTTTTAGGACATTATATTTTAAATTATATTATGAATGTAAGACTTTCTGTATGTCTGAAGGGAAGCAACTGCATCCTCAAATTTTGCAGTCTATATGACTTCAGAGATCGAAACTTACGAATTAGTAACAGTGCTGATGCCATGAGGGTGAGCAAGCCTAGCCTACAGAAAACTGTTATGTTTAGATTGTCCATCTTTGGTGGCTTTAATTCTAGGCAGAAGTTCTTCTGGAGATTTCTAAAAGTCCTTTAGAAACATGTTCTCTTTAGAGTCCTGTTCTTATGGGTACTTAATTGTCCCATATTTTAGGAGTGAATGTTTTTGTTGAGGAAAGAAATCTTTCAAGGGGCTAGAAAGAATTCTAAGCCAAGTTGTCCAGCTGAAAATGCCACCAAGTCACAGATCATTTAATGTGATATTCTTCAGTCTTCATGGTGCTTTTTGCTATGGAAAAGGTGATGTAATTTGAATTTGTCTTCTTGATTTTAATGCAGCTTTTTTTCACACCAAATATTCTTTATGGATAAATTGAATTTTTTTATTGGAAGTCATAGGGAGATAGGAGTTTTATGTGTGCTGCTGCTTGCCAGGAACAGGTTGGGGAGAAAACTGAGGCAGTTGGAATTGATGATGCACTGGCTTAATATAGGAGGGAATTTGTACAATAAACCTTAATTGAAGGTGAGTTGGTGTCCTATGTCTCTACATATTTTAACTGTCCAGAGTGCCTGCCATTGCTGTGTAAAGTGAGCTCTCTGCTGATCGATACACCAGTAATACTTTAGACTTGGAATGTCACTTTACTTTTAGGGATGACATTTTCCTCTTTCTCCTTGATACTTTCTGTGTTATGTTTGGTAATTGCTAGATGCGTGATGTATTTACTAAATTTAGGCTGTTTGTTTAGATTTTGTTTGGTGGAGTCAGCTTTCTTCCCTGACCTTTAAAGGTTATTTAGTTTGCTTTTGTATCTTTGTGGAAGTGATGATCACTGATTTGATTATGAAAATGTCTCTTACAGCTTTAAGTTTTTCTCATGAAATGTCACATATTTTCTAATCACATTCACTTCCTCACCACAGAGATACATATCCACTTGGCCTCAGCAGTTCTCCATGGAAGTCTGGTTAGTTCCTTAGAACTTTGTCAGGAGTGACCTTGAAAAAAGTGCTTACTAGAGCCTAAAAGCAGCTTTCTGCTGCATAGTCCGGCCTTTGCACTAGTAGATCATTGCTGATATAGGTCAGTTTAGAGACTTTTCTATATTAGTGCCTCCTGATACTGTTTTAAGATAACCTGCAGTATCTGCTTTTATATCTGTGCATATGTTATGAACCTCATGGGCTCTGCTTGAAGTGTTTGCTGCATTGTCTTTGGGTTAGCACATGTCCCTGTCAACTAGCATGCATGTTGTCCAAATTCCGTAAACTTAGGCTTCACGAGGTTGTGTGGTTTCTAAACACTGTGTCGTCTTTTACCCTCACCACTTCAAAGGGTGACAAAAAGGATTTATACATCTAAAGTTAGTCTAGTAAACATGGCTCCCCTCCCCGCTCCTTTTAACCTAGACTATCAAGGATGAGTGGTGATAAGCAGGCTTGGAGCCTCAGGTTCTATAAATCTCATTCTTGAAACTTGGCTTGAATCTCATGTTGGCAAAAACAATTATCTGTGAATTGTCCTTAGGACTTTTAATCAGATACCTGTGTTGCTGTTCGATTATCTTTAGTGAAGCATTAATCTAAAGCTACGTTGGTCTTCTGAAGTATCAGTTATGCTTTTTGGGTTTAGAAAATACATAGGAGTTAGTCTAGTCTTTTTACTTGAATCAATGTGTTTCCATATCTGAGACCCTCAGCACCCCCCCCCTTTTTAAAATGATTTTAGTGTTTTCATTTAATGTATCCTTTTACATAGTTCTGCATTATTGGCTTCACCAGTATTGATAGAAAAATTAAATCTCCAGTTGGAACAGCAATGGATTAGAATATCGAAATAAAATCATGGTAACATCAGTGCTGGATTTACTTTCACCTCTGCTACATAATTCCCCATATTGAAAACCATTCCCCTCTTTGTTCCTGGACAAAGGCCGATTAGAGGGGTCTTATCCCAGTATGGTTGGATTCTAAACATACCTGTATTTCCCACAGAAACAGGGGACTGTGGGAACTTGGGAACTGATTAACTTTTAAGAGGATTATTCCTTTGTTGATAATCTGTTTTGATCTTAATGCCAGGGAAAAGTGATTCTCAACATCTTGAAGTTGGAATACAAATGTTATTCTCTTGGGGTTGGGAGAATTTAAGCAGCCTGTGCAACCCTTCACATAGTGAGAAGTAAGCCCTCTGCAGTCCCACTAAACTTTGAGTGACTGATGCCTCCCCAGATTTCTTGTGTTGCTGCTTGTCAACACCCAGCTTTTAACTGAGTGTCTGTTCCTGGTGGTTTAAAAAATGTTCATGTTGTATCACACTGTCAAGTTTTATCTCTTTATCCCTATGTGGGATAAAAAGCCTGGTACTATAATCCTGCCTGATAGAGTGGTCTTGAGTGAGAATTATTTTAAGTGGGAGACCCTTCCATTTTAAAGTCTCTAAAGGAATGTTTACTGAAAAGTGGTGTCTGCTCTTCCTGTTTTTAAGTGTGTATTCATGGTGAATGAAAAGAAGAGAAAGCCTTGGGTTTTCTGTTGCCATAGTAAGCGTGGAGAGGGATGCTTGACAGCATGCTGATTGAAGCCAGAGCAAGTATGTCTCCATCAGGTTATCAGGAACTCTTCAGTTGGAAACTGAGGCCTTAACTGATTAGTGGTTGATCACATTGGATTTGGTTACAAGATGGAAGTGCTGGCTGGGTTAAGCACACAGAAAAGAATGCAGCTCACTTGACTTAGTGTTAACCTAGCTTTCTGGATTTGAAACTGACCACCTCCTCACCCGACTCCACACACCTAAAACTGTTTTCTTATCAGACCAAAGAGCAAAGGAGGAAAAAAAAAAATGAAACACTTTACGTAATCTATGTCACTCAGGTACAATTTTGTGGTGATATTTTTGTCTTTTTTTTTTTTGTATTGCTCTTAAGAGTCCTTTCTCAGCATACTGTTCTGCTCTTGCCTCTGTCTTCCTTGGGGCACCTCAGTTCTGGATGCTACTCCTGGGATCTCTACTGCTGTTATGTGAATGATAAGATGTAAGTGACCATTACAGTAAGGGCTCTTTGTAAAAAATTTTTAAAAATGTTTTTAAAAATTAAAAAAGTACATTGTATACATTTTATAGTCTGGCTATCAATTTGATATTTTGCTGTCAAGTATGTTTCTCAATCTGTATTTATCCATCCCATCAATAAATGTTAAACACTCATCTGATGATCATTTATGTGTGTTGAGTCTTCAAGTTAGTCTTTAACTGTCATTTCATTGATATGATAATGGTTGTCTTAGTTTTGGTAGTATAGTATGTACTTTCTTACTGCACAGGATCCTATGGGAATTGAGTTCAGTGGGACTACCTAAGATTTGACCATCACAGTGAACCTGACAGTATAAGTATGATGTGGCTGAGGGGAGAAACCCCTCATTCTATATTGTCACATGGATACCTGGAAGGATGACTGGTACACAGAAAAACAGGCAAGTCTAACAGAAGATAGCAACATGTACTGCTTGTCTAGTGGGCATTATCAGTGATTCATACTTGTATATTTGGTTCTTTGAAAAAATCGAAATGTTGGTATAGACAGTAGTGCTTTTGTAAGAAAAAAAATTAATAGACTCTGATAGTGAATACTCACCCTTTTCCTGGGAAATGATAAAACCACATACACAAGGTAATTTTTGTAAACTACACATTTAAATGGAGAGAATTTTTATGCTATAATGCTTAAATTATTTTTTATAAAGTTAGGAGTAGCTATAGTTTAAAAGCCCTAAAAGGAAAGAAAGATAAATTTAATAGTGTTAAACACTTCTGAAAAAAAAAATCGAGTTCTGTGCATTTTCTCTTCCATTTTCTGAAATACTGAAGTAAGTGAAGTAAAGTCACTCAGTTGCGTCCGACTCTGCGACCCCATGGACTGTAGCCTACCAGGCTCCTCCGTCCGTGGGATTCTCCAGGCAAGAGTACTGGAGTGGGTTGCCATTTCTTTCTCCAGAGGATCTTCCCCATCCAGGGATTGAACCCGGGTCTCCCGCATTGTAGGTAGACGCTTTACCATCTGAGCCACCAGGGAAGTCTTCTGAAATACTACAAGAACATTTTTGTTGGCTGTGCCCCTCCTGAAACTTTAGTGATAAAAGTTGCTGATATTTTAGGGATATTAGTCTGACATAAATGGAAGAACAGAGAAGTGTAGTAAATGAACGGTGAGAATGGATGATACAAATTTATTATAAAGTCATACATTTAGTGATTTGCTTTTGTTAAAAGAGATATCAACTGTATCATCCTTGGGAATAGATGAGGTATAAATCAATATAAACTTCCAAACAGCTGGATCCCTAGTTACAGAGGTTTGTTAAACTAACTGCTGTAGCATTACGTTTCATCTTGCCATCAGTGCCTAAATCGTCCTGGTCTCTTGACAGTTTTGAAAACCAGTAAGATTGGCTTGATCTCTATCGTTCAACATTCTGTAGAAAGTTTGAAGCCCTCTGTGACTCCTGTGGATTCCCTTAGAGGCTTCTATTTATTGTAATCTCTAGCTCTGGGGCCTACTTCTGTTGAATTGATTTCGTTTGTGGATTGTCACTTGTCTTGTGCTACCTTTTTTGCACTGTGGAATCTTAACCCTTGTTCTTGATTCACGTAACACTCAAAACCAAAGAACCCCAGTGATGAAAACAAGCTAAAACTGAAAACTAGATAACGTCTTTTCTGGAAAGTAGTTTTCAGGCACTCCCTTGCCTTTCATTTATTCCTTAGTTAGAATACAGTACTTACTAAGTACCATATTACCATTTACTGATGGCAGTAAACAAAGCAAGCATCTTGCCCTCATACAACTTATATTCTAGTTGTAGAAGAGATAAAACATGCTAGATGATAAGTACTCTGGAGAATGTAAAGCAGGGAAGGAGAGGGATTTTGTGGGTGTGTGGCTAAGATTGTTGAAATTGGAAATAAGATGGCTAGGGAGGAAGGCCTTATGAAACTACAGTTCATCAAAGACCTGAAGGATGAGATGGCTGGATGGCATCACCGACTTGATGGGCATGAGTTTGAGTAAATTCCGGGAGTTGGTGATGGACAGGGAGGCCTGGTGTGCTGCGATTCATGGGGTCGCAAAGAGTCGGATACGACTGAGCGACTGAACTGACTGAACTGAAAGACCTGAAAGAGGTGAGAGAGCAAGCCATGGGAATACTTGTGAGTAAGAGGATTCCAGGTTGCAAAGTTTGTGAGGTGAGCAGATACTGGCATGTTTGAGAAACAGCAGAGAGGCCAGTGGGGCTAGTTACAGAATTGACAGAGGAAGACGGTAAGTAGTAGGATAATGTGGTTGTAGAAGCAGCAGCAGGCTAGATAAAGTAAGGCCTTGTAAGCCATTATAAAGACGGTGAAATGGAGCACCATTGACAAGTGTTGAGAAGTGACATGATCTAGCTTGGGTTTTAAAATACTCATGTGGTGGGGAATTCCCTGGGGGTGCAATGGTTAGGACTTTCACTGCCGAGGGTCCAGGTTCAATCTCAGGTCAGGGAACTAAGACCATGAGATGCTGGAAGCTGTGAGGCGTGGACCCCCACCCCACTCCACCCCCAAAATATTCATTTGGCTGCTGTGTTGAAAGTGGACTACAGGAAGTCAAAGGTAAGAACACACAGTAATTAAGGTACCCGATGAAAGTGGCTTGGACCAGGTTGGAAGTGCTAAAGGTAACAATAAGTACACATCCTGAAATTGGAGCTGGTAGGATCTGCTGTAAGGTTCGAAGAGAAATCAAGGATGACTCCCCAGTTTTGGCCTGATAAGCTGGAAAGAAAATAGATGAAGATGACTATAGAAAGTACAGGATTTTAGCATTCATTTATTCCCTCCCCCACCCCCCGCAACACTCACTTCCTCTAGAATTAGCCCCCCAAACTCCAAATTAAAAACGTCCTTCAATTCATCTTTCCTTAACCTCTATTTACGAACAGCCTCAGGTCTACTTTAACCTGTTCAGTAGCTAACAAAATGTTCACTCAGATTAAAATCAGCCATCTGCTTTGATAGAAAGCAGAAAGAATTTACCAATATCTTGACCATTTAATAATCTCTACACCTCCTCAACTTAGAAGTGGTTCTAAATGCATTTTTTGTCTTCTCAAGCTTAGCAGGATTTCAGTCGCCCCCCTACCCCCTGCCCCAACTAAGGCCTTCTCTAGACTCCCTAATTAAAGCCTTTGTTGCATCTCTACCTAGTCCCTAATGCCTCTTTACATTGTTCCCTATAGTAGCTTTAATTTTCCTTTTTGATATCACTGCATTTGGTTGAAGATTCCCAGGTTTTCTGTAATGTGACTGCCTACAGTTTTGAGTTATAGGGTGTTTATAACAAATGTCTGTGTACTTCTGAGGGTCGGAGTGTTTGCTTATGTAACACAGTCGCTATTTAATGGTTGTATTGCATCCACAATTTCAAACTACTCTAAAATGTGTACTCCAGAAGAGCAGAGTTATCATTCTCATTCTCTGAAAATGCCTTCTAGGATTGCCCTCATCTTTGGGAAAAGGCACCTATAAGCCTTCCTTTCCTCGTTTTGGTTTTAATCATTTCTTGTGCCTAAACTGCTGTTCTGGAGCTTTGTACATTCTCTACGGTCACCATGCTCACCGGCTCATTGGTAGTGGAGAAATAGCTTACTTAAACTGACAGCGGATACGAGAGTTTGGGAAGGTTGGGATGCAAAAAAGAGAAAGAAGGGTTATGGAGAGAAAATGTTGGCTCATGTCTACCAAAGTCCTGGTGAGATGAAAGATGCTTTTAACTAAAAATCCTTAAAGGATTATAAGATTGGGATTTATCTGCCATTCTATATACCTGCGTTATTTAGCATGGAATTGTAGAGTATTTTAGAGAAGCAAGGCCTCAACTAGAACTCATTTACTCAATTTTCTCAGAACTCAATTTTCTCAGTCCAAAAAGAAAAAAAGTGAAAGTGAAGTCGCTCAGTCGTGTCCGACTCTGCGACCCCGTGGACTATAGCCTACCAGGCTCCTCTGTCCATGGAATTTTCCAGGCAAGAATACTGGCGTGGGTTGTCATTCCTTCTCTAGGGGAGCTTCCCGACCCAGGGATCGAAAAAGTGCTGGCAGACACTTTTACCATCTAAGCCATCTGGGAAGCCCTCTCAGTCCAGTGCACTTCTCCATAGAAGAGACAAGGGATAAAGAATGAGTGTTAATTGCTCAGTTGTGTCCCACTCTTTGCTACCCCTCTCCGCCAGACTCCTCTCGTCCATGGGATTCTCCAGGCAAGAATACTGAAGTAGCTTGACTTTCCCTTTTCCAGAGGATCTTCCGGACCCAGGGATAGAATCTGGGTATCCTGCACTGAAAGTGTATTCTCTACCGTCTGAGCCACTGGGGAAACTCAGAATAAGGGCTGGGTTCAAATTCACCTCCTTGCCCTGTTTACTAGATATGGGCCCGTTCTATTCCTCCATTATCTTATCTGTAAAATGGAAATCATAGTTTCTACTTCTTAGGGTTCTGAAAATTTAAAGTTTATATGTGTAATTTCCCAGGCTCAGTAAATACTTGAAAAAAATGTTTCCATAAATAAATTGTTCACAAAAGAAAACTAAAGCCTTTTCCTGTATAAACAATGAGAGTCAAATGTACAGTTATTCTTTGGCTTCTACATGTCGATTTTGTTGTACCCACTGTGTAGGGGTGGTGAAATAGCTGCGGCCTAAGATCACACACAGAGCGCCCCAAATCCGCCTGGACATCAGCCACGATCGGAAATGGAAAGAGCCGTACCCACCCAGGAGGTCCCACAACCCACGCTCCCTCCGCCTCACTCTCTCTGGAACTGAGTTGCTGACAGACACCTCTTCTAGCCACCCAGCCGCGCCTTTTCCCAGCGCCCCGCCCCCTGAGCTCGATAGATAGCCAATGGTGACACAGAGTCGTAGGCTCGATATCCAATCAGTGGCTGGGAGCCCGGAAAAGAATGGTTAGAGGTGGCTGGCGCTGCCAGAGAGCGAGTGGCGCGGCGCGGCGGGAGAGGTAAGATGGCGGGTGTGCTTGCTCTTCGCCTTTGGAGTTAGGCTGCTGCTTCGCCCCTTCTGTTTTTTTCTGAGCTGCTACTCTGTCTCAACCGGCGTCAGGGTCGCTTTACTCCTCTAGGCTTCCAGGACCCAGATTCGCCGGTGCTCGGAGTCTTAGGACAAAATGGCGCTTGCACGGGCCTCCGAGGATGGGTAGGGCCCAGCCTTCAGCCTTGAGGCGGGCCGGGACAAAGGCGGCATGCGGGGAGGCGGAGGCCAGGGGTGGGGCGGGCGGCGTTGCGGCGCGGCGTGGGGGCAGGAGCTGGCGCTTCCGCCTCTTGCTGCTTCTCCCTCGTGGGGGGACCGTGCGCGCTCTTGAGATGCTTTCAACGTGGCAGTGGTCAGAGTTAGGGGACGGCTTGGACAGAGAAGTTGAGATGAGGCAATTTCAGTAACATCTTGGTAGACCTGGGCGGAAGGGAGTTAAGGAGCGAGACTTCCGCCTGGCGTTTTTAGAAGCCGCGCGCAGTCTGCCCGGGTATTGTGGAGCTGGGCTTTTCGGGAACGGTAAGGGCTGTTTGATCTTTGTGCGACCCTGCAGATTTTGGTATGAACAGGATTCGGATTCACGTCTTGCCGACCAATCGGGGGAGGATCACCCCAGTGCCCAGATCTCAGGAGCCCCTGTCTTGTTCGTTTACTCATCGTCCATGTTCGCAGCCTCGTCTGGAGGGGCAGGAATTTTGCATTAAGCATATCCTTGAAGACAAGAATGCGCCTTTCAAGCAGTGTAGCTATGTATCGACGAAGAACGGAAAAAGATGTCCCAGTGCTGCCCCAAAGCCTGAGAAGAAAGATGGGTATGTGTGTGTGTGTATATATATAGAGAGAGAGAGAGAGAGAAAGAGTTAAATACCTGTCTTATGTACTTTTAGCTTTTAAGTGAGAGGAAGATGTGGCAGGATGTGGCCTTGGAAACAGCCGCCAAGTTTTTTAGGTCACGTGTTTGTAAAATTGAAGTTATGGGTATATTCTTGGAAAATTTTTTAAAATGGTGAAAATGAGACATCTCCTAGTTGGGCCATTTTATTATTTCTTTGGCTATTTTACCTTACCTGTAAAATAAAGATTATTCTTGAGCCTAGGTTCCATGGCTCGTTTGGCTGTCCTTGATTCTTAGGTAATGCAAAATTGTATACATGTGTATTTTTCTAGGAAAAGTTTTCATCATTTAAGCAAAGTATCCATGCAGAAATAATTTGGCTAGATAATTCTGCATTGTGTCCCACATCTTACTACCTGCAGTAGATTGATTATGAAGTATTATAAAATGTAAAATTGCTTTCCAGAACCAGTTTTGAGAGATGAAAGTGGATCAGTGTGACTTGTTGCAAAATGATACCAGCATTTTTATAGTTGGAATATTTCCTTAGATGGATAGATCACTAGGGTATGTTAACCTGCATTACCCTTCAGTAATACCAAATGAGTTGACCTTGCCTGTTAAATTATTCTGCCTCACTAGCATTTTTAATCTCTAAATGAAGATAAGAGTCATTTTAATTTCCTGGAAATGATCTAAAGATCACTGTCTGTGGAAATCATTGAGCTCTTGTAAGAGGGAGCATGAGTATAAAACGTTAATATTTTGTCTCCTTAGGGTATCCTTCTGTGCTGAACATGCTCGTAGGAATGCCCTGGCACTTCATGCGCAAATGAAAAAGACCAATCCAGGGCCTGTGGGTGAAACACTCTTGTGCCAGCTGAGCTCATATGCTAAGACAGAGCTGGGGTCTCAGACTCCAGAAAGTAGCCGCAGTGAAGCCAGCCGAATTCTGGGTAAGGATCATCTCTCTCATAATGAAAAAAACAAGAAGAAAGTTAACAAAGAACTTTGGTTTATCTCAGTGCCTTAAACGTATGTGGCACTTGAAAATACAATATTATTATTAATTCATTGCCAGTTTGGGAGAATTCAGGACTGCTGCTGTTCACCAGTCTTTCTGGTTTTAAGTAGTGTGTGCTTAGGTTTACTTTCCTGAGTTTGTGACTCTTTTAGTGCTGTTTTTATACTTTGTTAGGTAAGATAATTTCAGGAAACAGAATAATTTTGAGTTGACCTTTCTGTCCTTTTGAGGCTATGATTAACTCATTTGTGTTATAAGTACTTATACTCAGGAAGTATATTTTTTAGCCATTTTTATTTGCCAGTGCTTCTGTATTAAGCATTTTTAATTTTAAGATTTGGATTGGTGTGTTAAGTAATCTAGTTTTGTGTGGTGGAGTTACAGAGGTGGGAAGTCTTAATGGCTGCTCTCCCTTCCTTGCCTCAGATGAAGACAGCTGGAGTGATGGGGAGCAGGAACCCATTACTGTGGATCAGACATGGAGAGGTGACCCTGACAGTGAAGCTGATAGCATAGACAGTGATCAAGAAGATCCCCTAAAGTAAGTTGTAACTCCACATAGGGCTTTAAAATATTTTAGTAGGTAGTATGTGGAATGTAGTACTGCATGCTGTTAATAGATTAATAAGCTAGGAGGGTTGAAGATAGCTTAGCCATTTGTGAACAGTAATAGCTTCTGCATATTAAAGTGTCATTGTTCATCACCATCTTGCCTCAGAGTAGGATTCGATTCTTTTTTAGAAGTCTTGTAGTTTGGGAAAATTTTTGGACATCAAATTCTACATGTGAGAAAGTGCAGGGGGGGAAATAGATTTCTCGGACATAGGAGCTGAGAGATGGGTGGAGATCAGAGAAGAGAAAAGTGATGAGAATTTGTTGTTGACTTAAACCTCAGGAATAAAAAAACTGATTATATTTGAATAACAACTTTTTTCCCCCCAAAGTTCTGATTAATTTATATTTTGTTTACCTTTATATGTTTAAGAAAAATTAAAAGGTGTTTAAGAGCTTCCTTTGGTTTCATGCCTAAGAAAGAGAAACTGATTTAGAAACCCAGGAGTAATCATCCTAATTATATCTTACTAAGGTTCTGCTCTTTACTTAACCTACGATTGCTTTGGAGTTACAGAACATTACCACTCAGAAGTCTAATGTTTCTGTGTCTCATAGTTTGGGTTTAGTTTTTGTTTTTTCTTACCTTCTGTCTCTTGATACTTCCCACTGACAGTTTAGGTGGAAGAACTCTTAAATAGTGGGAGGGGTAATGCATTTCTAGACTTGACTGTTTGACAAATTCTTAGAATAGCATCTTCTTCATTCCTTGGATTCTGAAGTTTCTAAGAAGTCATTTAGGGTTCTGTTTTCTGAGTAGAATAATTTCATCTATTTTAAGTAATCTGAATATGGAGAGCTATTCAGAAACTACTTGTTTGGAAAGTCCATGTAAGTAGTTTGAGAAGGAATGATTGTTTCTAGCAAGATATTTTCACAGTAGAAACTTTATACTAAGCCATGGATAGGTAGGTATAGATATTATATATGGATATATATATATATAGATGTACATATAGATAGATATAGATGTAGTTGTAATTTATATAGTTACGTTACATTGTGCTTCTGGAAATGCCATTCTTGATTGTTTGAAGTGTACGTGCTGTAGGATCACAAAGTGATTGTCTTTTGGTGTGGTAAACACTCAGTTTGGAAGGTCCAGAAACTTTATTTTGTCTCTGTTAATTTAGAGTGGGTCAGTCTTCACTGATCCACATTTATGCTAATCTGATTTACATATAGGAGATTTGGTAGTTTAGTTGCTAAGTCATGTCCAACTCTTGCGGCCCCATGGACTGTAGCCTGCCAAGTTCCTCTGTCCATGGAATTCTCCAGGCACGAATACTGGAGTGGGTTGCCATTTCCTTCTCCAGGGCTCTTCCCAACCCAGGAATTCTTCCCAGGATTCTTCTCAACCCAGGATTTGAACCTGGATCTCCTGCATTGCAGGCGGATTCTTTACCGACTGAGCTAGGAGGGAAGCTCTTACAGGAGATTGTTACACGAAACAAAATACCAGTTAATTTTATGAGAAACATAAGTGTTAAAAGGGCTAGATGTCAGTTTCCTCTAAAAGGAACATTCAAAGGGAAAAAACAATTTAACACAATATAATAAGTGATTCCCTTTTTTGAAATTGGTGTAATAATAAACCTAGACTTATAATTGTGCATATCAGAGCAAGAAGAGTTAGTACATGATTTTTTAAATTATAACTAGCTGCGAATATTTGCGGCTCCATCTTTAAATAAACGACTCATTTGTCACATGAACTAGGCCTTTACCTTAGTTAGGATGCTCATCCGCCTCCCCAAATGATTTGTTGTAAGTTCTAATTGTAGTCCCCAGTTAAATTCTCTTCTGACAGGGTACAGTGAAATTAATTTCATTTTAACAAATGATGTTAGGTTAAGGCCTCAGTATTTTAGGGATACAGGCATTAATGCAGACATGCCCCATTTTCCTGAATATGAATAACCTCATCACCTTGTTTAAACATTAGATACTTTTAAAATTTTCACATTTTCTGAGTCTTAGATTTTGCCATTTTTATAATTTCAGAGTACTTTGTAGTTGTACTTTTCTTATACACAGGTGTTATCTCCTGTTTATATTTAAGAAAAGCTTTTGGCAGAGATTATTTGCTCTCAGTCCTAAAGTTAATAGTTTTATTCTGTGTATTTCAGTGATTTAACAGTTAAATTTTAAAGAGCACATACTTTTTGGATTTAAAATCAGTATATAGTTCATGTATATTTTGCCTTTTAAATAATAGAAATAATTTTTACTAGGTCAAAATACGAGAGTATCAAGTCAAGGTCTATATCTAGCTTTTTTTATTTTTAAGAATAAGGTTTTAAGTTTTGTTAATTCATAGTTGGTGGCAAAGCTTAAGTTGATGTGGATCTAGATCTTTGGCAATTAAGGGTTTCTCCAGGATACTATATTTTGAGAATATTTTTGGCTATGCTTTGTGGCTTATGGGATCTTAGTTGCCTGAACAGGGATTGAATCCAGGCCTTTCAGCAGTGAGAGCGCATAATCGTAACCACTGGACCACCAATTAAAAGTGTACTTTTAAATTAGAAGTTGTAATTATTTGTGATCTTTTGTACCTTAGTTAAAATATATTGAGATATATGCTACTAAATTAACACTTTAATTTACTGGTAAGTGATTTTTTCTGTATTAAATGGAACAAGACTATAGATTAATAAAAGTTTTGAGTGTTTTGTATCTACTCCTGTTTAAACATAATGCAAATAACTGGGGAGCAGAATGAAACATTTTTCCTTCTCCACATTTTGAGATCATACATTAGTATCCATTCTTGGGTATTTTGTTTTTTAATAACAATAGTAAAATGCTGTGAGAACATTCTTATGTAGTAAGGTGATTGTCTCAGCACTGACTGCTTGTTGAATAGCAAACCTAAGTCTAACCTTCACTCTTTGCTCCTTTTAAGCTTGGGTCTTATTGTTGTGCTTTCTTATCCTTTTTGAATCGTCTTATTCTAGACATGCTGGTGTCTACACAGCAGAAGAAGTGGCCCTGATTATGCGTGAGAAGCTTATTCGTTTGCAGTCTTTGTATATTGATCAGTTTAAACGACTTCAGCATCTGCTCAAAGAGAAGAAGCGACGTTACTTACACAATCGCAAAGTGGAACATGAAGCTCTAGGCAAGTTTTATGCCAGTTCCAACAACCTGCCGTGGGTTTAATCAACATGTGAATTTGGTAGTTAGGCTTATTTTTTTGTTACCTGGACTGGAGAAGGATTTGCTTTTGAAACTGAAGATGCATCCTTGGTTGCTTGGCAGATAACATCTTGACTGTTTTGACTTTGCAGGTAGTAGTCTCCTGACTGGCCCAGAGGGACTTCTGGCCAAAGAACGAGAAAACTTAAAGCGTCTAAAATGTCTTCGGCGGTATCGTCAGCGCTATGGAGTGGAAGCCTTACTACACAGGCAGCTGAAGGAGCGCAGAATGCTGGCCACAGATGGTGCCGCCCAACAGGTAATTTGTGTATATACCTCTAAGGTGTATACATTTGCTTTTACAGAGTTACGGTGAACACTGTTGTACAGTTTTGGTTCTAAAATCTAACTTACTAGGCTTACAGGGCTTCTCTGATGGCTCAGATAGTAAAGAATCTGCCTGCAACATGGAAGACCTGGGTTCCATCCCTGGTTTGGGAAGATTTCCTGGAGAAGGAAATAGCTACCCACTCCAGTATTATTACCTGGAGAATCCATGGACAGAGGAGCCTGGTGGGCTACAGTCTATGGGGTCACAAAGGGTTGGACATGACTGAGTGATTAACTCTCACTTTCAAAATTTTTGTTCTGAAATCTAACTTACTGGACATGGGGTATATTGGGCACTTACCTGGGAGTCCAGAGACGTGGGTTTTAGTTCCCTTCTGATCAATTCTGTGCCTGCTCTGATAAATGAACTTCTCTGGACTCTTATTTTCATCTGCATATTGAAGGATTGCCATAGATTTCTAAGTTACTTGGTTCAGAAATGTTCATTTCAGAAATAGGCACAGGACACCTAACAGTTTGGGACTCTTGTTTTAGAAAGCAGAGAAATAAGTAGAATAATAAGAACAATGAACGTTAGTACGTTTGATGAACCAAGTTAAGTGATCATTTTTAAATTTGTTTAAAATGATTTTTAAACAAAACATCAGTAAGAGTAATTCCATTTTTCTCATATTTTTTGAGGCTTAACGTAAGACTATAATTTAAGACAAATAAAAGGTAGTTTGAAAAACACTATGCCTCTGTATCACACTTTCGTAATATGGAGGAGTTGTGTTTCAAATTATGGTTGGCTCATTATTTGGACATGAAGTTTAAATTTTTTTTTCCTTTTGCATAGCATTGGTGAATAAATTGTTAAATGATAGTTTATTTTGACTAATGTGTTTTCTCATTTTTTAGGCCCACACCACTCGTTCCAGTCAGAGGTGCTTGGCCTTTGTGGATGATGTTCGTTGTTCCAATCAGTCTCTTCCAATGACCAGACACTGCCTTACCCGTATCTTTTTTGCTCTGTTTAGTTTGCTAGCTAATCTGAAGGCTAGTGGGGATCTGTGATAGTTCAGTTAATTGAAGGTCTTTGTTTTCTTTTGGCCCTGAATCAAGGCCAGCAGTTTGCTGAAGCTGTTGGTTTCAAACAGGAGCCTAAAGAAGTCTCTTTCTGTGGTCTGTTGGCCATTTCAAATCTTCGAAATGTAATGGTCAATTCATTAGAAAGAAACATCTCAGTCATTGGTGATAGGGGCTAATACTTATTTGTAGTTGATTAATACTGGGATTCTAAAATTTAGAGATCCCTCGTTTAACTTTTTCATTAAAATTATAGTAATGTTAAGTCCAGTTACTATAATAGGAGAAAATTGTTGTGTATTCAAAAACAGTGGGATGGTTCTGAACTGTGAGCTGTCTTTGAATATTATCCTTTTGTGTGGTCAGGGCCATGGTTGTGTATTTTAGTTTTCATTCAAATGGGACACCTTACATTTATAATTGGGTTATAAAATTTTTTGAGTTGTGTATTAGATTGTGAAAGTGCATCTACATTATGAGCATTGATTGAGAAAGGTCACTTTCATAGTTAATGCACTTTTAAAATATAATCTTCATTGTATAAAAGGCATAAATCTTGCTGGGTTTCATTTGCCTGGCAAAATATACAAATATTTGGAAAGTAAAATGTACTTACTTGAGTAAGAAGGGAAGGAAAACTTTCTTTTTGGAAAGGAAAACTGATTTTTTTCCTATTCTGTTTATTAAATACTTTACAAGTTTATTAATTATTGTAACAAGTGTTTGATAAAGGATTATGTCCTTGATATCAGTATATAACATTTTTATACAGAGTAATTAAAAACTAAAGATAAATACTGAAAACATAATTGGGCAAAGTCTATCTACGGACAGATTAAAAGAAGTGGCTGATAGTTGAAAAGTATTCATCTTCACTATAAATAAGTGAAATAAGAAAACAAGGAAGTTTTTTTAATCTATGCATTTTGTTTTTCTTTTTGGCTGCACTGCCACAGCCTGTGAGATCTTAGTTCCCTGACCAAGGATTGAACCCAGGTCCTGGCAGTGAAAGTGCTAGGTCCTAACCACTGGACTACCAGGGAGTCCCCTAATCTAGAAATTTGATACTTATCTATGTATGAAATAGTAACTTTCAAAAGTTTGTGAGGGAATAGTGAAATGAGCCCTTCTAAACACTGCCAGTGAGACTAGAAAATGACACAGGCTTTTTATAAAGCAGTTTGACAATATTCATATTCTTTTTCTTTTTTTTTTTTTTCTTTTTTAATGTTCATGTTCTTTGATGACATCTCTGGGAATTTAAGGAGATAATCAAATACATATCAATATTTTTACATAAAATTGTTCCAACTAGAGACAGCCTTAAAATTTTCAGGGATGGAAAATAGGAAAATTTTGATAAAATGTAATATGGAATATGTTCAGGAATTAAACATATTTAAAGTTTATGAATGACAAGAAAATGATAGTGGCACAAATAGAATATGGAATTCAGTAGAGTATGGTTTTAACTACATGGAACTAATACTGGGAGGGAATATAACAGAAATGTGACTATTTTTGGATGGTGGGGTTATGAATGCCCTTTTCCCCTCTGCCTTGTACTTTCAGGTTTTCTTCAGTGGCCTTGAATTTCTTTATAAGGCAAAAAACCCAACTTATGGATATTAAAGAGTATTCTAGACTTTTTCTTACTGCACTATACTCAGTTTATTAGAATTTTAATATTTTAAAAATGCAAAGTTGAACATAAAATGTATTTGAAAAGAGAAGGGAAGTATTATTTTTTTCTCTTTTATGCTCTTTTCCTTTCCACTCCATGGTTGCCTAAGTCACTTACCCTTCCTTAAGTCCTTATCCCAGAGAAAGATGCGACTGCCATTGGTGACCTGTTAACTCTTTACTCTGGTCTAATGGAGACAGCCCTGGACTGAAAGTGAAGGACCCAGTCTCTAGTTGTAGGTCAACCATTCCCTTCTTTGTCTGTTGTCCCCATCTGAAAGGAAAGGGGTGGAGGAGGGGGGTAAAAGGATTTTTAGGGATATTGTGATAGTAAATAAGAGGCTTGTGAAAGTCCTTTGATGAAAAAGTTTCTAATTAAAACATTTAATGGATTAACATTTAAGATTTTGATAATTTAAACAAGATTGGGCTTCTTAAGCACACAGATATTTGTTGTTCACTTGAGCATTGATTTTCATTTCAGTAGTTATTTGTTTACAGTGAGCTACATATTGTACCCTGAGAGCAGTGGTTCTCGGCTGGGGCCATTGTCCCCCATTTGGTAATGTGGAGAGGTTTTTGTCAGTCATAGCTCTGGTGGGGTTGCTGCTGACATCTAGAGGGCAGAGGCCGGGAATGCAGCTAATAAACATTCTACAGCACACCTATGGCCATAATGGTAGTAGTGGCAGTGCTGTGCAACTCTGTTTTAGTTGGCAAGTTCTAAGAATGGATTTAAAAAAGGAACTTTCTTCAAGAGGTTTTATTTGGCTTAAAAATTATAATGTACGTTAGATTTTTTACCTTTAAAAAATTACCTATACTTGCATAATTAGTTTCTAGAAAATTGGGTACAATCAATTTATAGAAAATTGTGCTTTCTGGTTTAAAAAATAAGCCCAAATTTGAAATAACAGTTGTCTATTAATTTAGGGAAAACAACTGTGTAGGTAGGATATCAGGAAATGCTAAAATTTGAGAAAAATGTATTTTGTAGACTGACTTCTGACATTTTGTTATCTAATCATGATTTCAATGTTCGTTCATCCTACAGCACTTCTTTGCCAACTTGGAAATATTGCCCCTTTCTGCTTCTACCATAGTAGAAGTTGTTAGGGCTCCTGGAGTGTTCTTGGAGTACTTCTTTCATGGGCCCTTTTAAAGCAAAGTGTTCCCAGCTAGAATATACCTAGTTACATTACTAGAGCTTCTGTTTTCCCCAACACCCAGCTTCTTTTAAACAAATTTATGTGATAAATATTTTGGAAACAAAGTTCAAAATGTTTTTTTAAAAAAATAAAAACAACTTTCTGCCCATCTGCTTAATAGCAGAAACAACATTGTATCTTTTGACTCTCTGAAGGAGTTGGTAGGGGCCTCTGCAAGCTATTTGCTTTTGCCCTGACATGTTTCTTCTGCATAGGTATAGATTTCTAGGATTATTACTGTTGACACTTAGCGCTATGTTTTTAAATGTTTTATGTTTGACCCTCATGGAGAGAATGAGATTAGTGTCTACTCTAAAGGATAGATCCTGAAATGGAGGTTGGGGACTAGTTTTACACTACTGGTAGAGCTAGAATTACTCTAGTAAATGAAAATTTGAAAAATAACTTTAAAAATTGTTACCTGCATTTGATACTGTATCAAATGTAACTAATAATCTTGTGTAGTCCAGACCTTGAATTTTACATGGCAGACAACATTTTTGGGCATTCTTGGATAGATCCATTTTATTTCCCTTGACCGTTTTTCTACAGATATTTGTCAGGACACGAATCAGGTTCTCTTCAAATGCTGCCAGGGATCTGAAGAGGTACCCTGCAATAAACCAGTTCCTGTAAGCCTTTCTGAGGATCCTTGCTGCCCACTGCACTTCCAGTTGCCTCCTCAGATGTATAAGCCCGAGCAGGTACTGTCTGTGCCAGACGATCTGGAAGCCGGCCCCATGGATCTGTACTTGAGTGCTGCCGAGCTTCAACCCACTGAGAGTTTACCTCTGGAGTTCAGTGATGTAAGTTAGAGAAGCTCTGCTCTGGTTGGCCCTTGAGGCAAGGCCTTATTTATTAATGGTGAGACTAGGTTAGTCATTTGTGGTTTAAAAAAGAAAAAAACTGATAAATTTTTTGAAATGATATGTATGGTTGTGTTTGTATGTTAACATTCGTTTAGAGACAGTTTAAATTTACAGAAGTTTTTCTGAGGGCCTGATAAGGCAAATTATAAACTAAGAGAAGTTGGAGGAAAGTCTCTTTGTGATTGGATTTATGTAGCTGGGATATTTGGTGCCCATTCACAAGGTAATTCACTAGAATCTTAACAAATATAAATGAATTCTGATATCTGTTCAGCAATGCAAAGTGTTTTGGTTGTGTAGTCAGGGTTATCATTTTTAGATTAATGTGTCCCTCCCAAAAAACAGCCCTAAACTTAGCTCTGCCTATTGTTTTTCATTTTTGATAATTATTAAAAGATTCTTTTGTGAAAGGACTCAGATATCAGTGAACTCTAAATATTTACTGTGACAACCTTCTAAGTGTATACACTTCATTGCTTTTTTCAGCCTGCTCCTCAACTGGTCCCAGCTCTTAAGCGCATCTCTGATTGTATTTGCTTCCCTAATTAGCACTACCCTACTGTGTCATTCACTTTAGGGATCAGTTGACGTTCCTTCTCTTTTGGCACTTGCCTTAATCTTTAGCTTTCTGAATAAAGGTTTTCATTATTTATTATGAAGATAAATCTTCTGAATTTAATAAATAGGATGTCTTGTATATAACCATGGCATATTTAAAGTGACAAATCTAAATAGAAAATTTAGTAAAGGTTGCAGTATTGTTTATGTAGGGGTAGAAGCAGTATTTGGATGGCCTACAGTGTTGCTCACTAAAAAGATACATCAGGAAAGGCTAATATCTTAAAAAGCGGTACTGATTCAGTAAACTGATTCAGTGAATCAGTAAGCTGATTCCACGGAATTCCCTGGAGGTCCAGTGGTTCGGACTGGGTGCTTTGACTGCTGTGGCCTGGGTTCATTGCCTGGTTGGGGAGCTAAGTTCACACAAGCCAAGTGGTGTGGCCCCAAAAGAAGAGTTAACTGAATAAATTTCCTTCCCCTCTTTTTTGATTGTATACTGTCTGTAGGCTTTTTTAAAAACAACCTGATCAAGTACTACCTTGCCAGATTCCCTTCACGTAATAATGTATATATGTAGAAATTAGCACGTGTTTTATTTAGATGTACTAGATTATTGTTAATTTTTATTTCATGTGATTGTTAATTTCTAGAGCCATTTCTGTTTTGACCCTTTTGTTTCCCCTTTCACTTGTTTTTGTCATTAATTTTAAAGAGTTCTCTCTCAAACTTTTGATGATTTAGATCTAAGAAAATGTGACTCTTTTTGTTGAAGATTATATTGTTTGCTTTTCAGAGAATAATAACACAGAATGTTAGCGATTATGAGATGTGAAAGAATATGAGAAGTAACTTTATTTTTGAGAATCTAATGAGTTTTTAAGAGGGACCTTTGTTGTTAGAGGCTTAAAAGTGATAATTAGCTATTTGTACTTGATTATCTATTATGTCTGTATTAATGTACTTTAGATGAACCACATTGGTCGTTTAAAAAGTAGTTTTATTCTTTGGAGGTAAAAAGTCTCCAGAAAATGTTGAAATTCAGTTTTATAAAAGAATTTTTGTCCTCCCATAAATTCTGAATATACTAGTCTTCTGGGAAAAAATAGTTTCTTAATTATGTGAATTCCACCCAGCAATCTACCTATGTTCTTTCTTAGATATCATTTCTGTAACTTAATAATAATTTCTGGTAACTTGTGGGAGGACCAGGTATCAGACATTAATACTTGCCTGTTTTCTGTCCTTTGATGTAGGAATATTTGACAAATAATAATTTAATACCTTAATCCTATTACTTTGAGCTTGCTCTCTTTTTGTGTTTGTTTTTTGAGTTCCATTTTTGACATCAGAAATGTGGATTCTATCCTATATTCTGGTATGTCTACATATTCCTCTTATGTTAGGCATTTCTGCTGATACTTTCTTCCTTTCTTATTTTAGGTTCCTGTTCCCAATTTTAATTCTCATAACAGACAACTTTCAATATGTGAAGAAGGCTTTTTTAATATCTATTTTTCTTTGAAAAATTTCTGTGCCATTGTCATCTTGAGACTTTGAAATGATTTGCCACATTACTTACATGGGTTCTTTTAAATTTCACTTTAGTTAATTATGCAGTTGACTCTTGAACAACATGGGCTTGAGCTTGTGTGGGTTCACTTACTATGCAGATTTTTTTTTCAGTGAATAGTTTTTACAGTCTTCATGATCTGCAGTTGATTGAATCTGAGGGTACAGAACCATGGGCACAAAGGGCTGCCTTGAAGTTATGCACTGATTTCTGACTGGACATTGTTGCCCCTAACCACTGCATTGTGCAAGGATCAAGTGCATGATCATTGTGCATACTAAAAGAATTGGATAAAACTGTTTGCAGTCCGCCCCCCCCCCCCCCCCTTCTGTCTGCAGCATGCAGGATCTTAGTTCCTTGAAACCAGTGCAGGGATCAAACCTGCACCCCCTACAGTGGAAGCACGAAGTCTTAACCACTGGGCTGCCAGGGAGTCCCAGCAGTTAATAGTTTTAAAGGTGTGAGAACACTGGTTTCTGTGTATAGAAGTTTCTTGACACATCTGAAATAGATGTTAGGTGGCCAGCTATATCCTTTTTCTTATGTTTCTGCTTAAATTGAGCAGCTTTAAGTCTAGCACATCCTTTATCAGTTCAGTTCAGTCGCTCAGTTGTGTCCAACTCTGTGACCATGGACTGCAGCACTCCAGGCCTCCCTGTCCATCACCAACTCCTGGAGCTTACTCAAACCCATGTCCATTGAGTCAGTGATGCCATCCAACCATTTCATCCTCTGTCGTCCCCTTCTCCCGCCTTCAGTCTTTCCCAGCATCAGGGTCTTTTCAGATGAGTCAGTTCTTCACATCAGATGGCCAAAATATTGGAGTTTCAGCTTCAGCATCAGTCCTTCCAGTAAATATTCAGGACTGATTTCCTTTAGGATTGACTGGTTGGATCTCCTTGCTGTCCAAGGGACTCTCAAGAGTCTTCTCCAACACCACAGTTCAAAAGCATCAATTCTTTGGCGCTCAGCTTTCTTTACAGTCCAACTCTCACATCCGTACATGACTACTGGAAAAACCATAGCTTTGACTAGACGGACCTTTGTTGGCAAAGTAACGTCTCTGCTTTTTAATATGCTGTCTAGGTTGTTCATAACTTTTCTTCCAAGGGGCAAGTGTCTTTTAATTTCATGGCTGCAGTCACCATCTGCAGTGATTTTGGAGCCCCCAGAAATAAAGTCTCTCACTGTTTCCATTGGAGAAGGAAATGGCAACCCACTCCTGTATTCTTGCCTGGAGAATCCTGTGGACAGAGGAGCGTGGTGGGTCACAGTTCATGGGGTCTCAAAAGAGTCGGACACAACTGAGCGACAAAACACACACCCACACACACAGTTTCCACTGTTTCCCCATCTATTTGCCATGAAATGATGGGACCGGATGCCATAAACTTAAGTTTTCTGAATGTTGAGTTTTAAGCCAGCTTTTTCACTCTCTTTCACTTTCATCAAGAGGCTCTTTAGTTCTTCACTTTCTGCCATAAGGGTGGTGTCATCTGCATATCTGAGCTTATTGATATTTCTCCCGGCAGTCTTGATTCCAGCTTGTGCTTCATCCAGTCCAGTATTTCTCATGATGTACTTTGCATATAAGTTAAATAAGCAGGGTGACAGTATACAGCCTTGACATACTCCTTTCCCAATTTGGAATCAGTCTGGTTCCAACTGTTGCCTCCTGATCTGCATACAGATTTCTCAGGAGGCAGGTAAGGTGATCTGGTATTCCCATCTCGAAGGATTTTCCAGTTTGTTGTGATCCACACAGTCAAAGACTTGAAAGTTACTTTACTTCCTTTACTTTAATTATCTTGAGGATATGATTCTTCATTTTGGTGATCAAAACCAAGGGAAAGGATTTTGAATTCTTAAGACCTATTTTTAAAGCATAGAATTTTGCTTTTCTCAAGAAGCTGAATTACTGGAGACAGATCCTCTGTAAAGTGCCTTGAACACAGGACAGTTTAAACCCTTGGATAGTTTTCACTCTTGGGAAGCAGAGTTTAGCAGTAATGCTTAGAAAGCAGAGGCATGAAAGTGAGTTTGACACATTGTCTGAGCTTTTACAGCGCTTTAGGCCCTGAATCAAGACCAGTAGTTTGCTGTAGCTGTTGGTTTCAGACAGGAGCCGAGAGCATTGTCTTCCTATGGTCTGTTGGCTTCAACCCTCCTGTGGGAATAGCCAGTTCAATTGGAAGAAACATAGTCTATAAAATATAATGTTGTCGTGTGTGTATTTTAAAGGGCAGTTGGATTATGTTAGGTTTAAAAATCAGGAACTTATTCTCTGGGGATAATGACTTAACCAAAATACTTCCTGGCCATTCAGAAGGACTTTGAGTTTTTTTGTCTTCCTTCTTTCTTCCCTATACCTCTTCCTGTTTTACTCACTGGCTGGCTTTGCGGCTGTTAGAATATTTATCAAGTGGTCTCATATTGTCCAATCTATTAAGTCAGTATTTCATTTTAATTTATAATTACGCTGCTGTCCATTTTAGATGCATCACTCATGAACTTAGAGGATGAGTGCAGCTAGTCTTAGAAGTATATGCCTGTTTTGGGGAGGGCAGGGTGCTGCACAGGTCTAGTTCCCCAACCAGAGGTTGAACCTACACCCTTGGCAGTGAAAGATAGCATGGAGTGCTAACCATTGGACTGCCAGGGAATTCCCAGTATATGCTTCTTTAAAATATTTTTTATTGTGGTAAGATATTTATAATGTAAGATTTGCCATTTTAAAACATACTATTCAGTGGTATTAAGTACATTTAAACTATATTGCAACCATCACCACAATCAGTTTCCATTGAATTTTCCACAGAACTTTTCTCAGTGCAGCAGAGACTGTATCCATTAAACTGTAACTCCCACATCACCTCTGTCTCTAGCCCTTGGTAGCTACTATTCTACTTTCTGTCCCTGAATTTTCCTATTTAAAAAATACTCTTTTTAAAGCTACTATAGTGGTCTGCACTTTCTATTTGGCAGCAAGAATCAGTACTTTTCGAGCTTGTCCCATTTGTTGCATGCACATTTGTTATTGTTTAAAGGTAGACAAGGGGTGAGGGAAGGGTGGGAGAAACTGCTGTGAGAGTTGCTAAAAGTAGGCAAACTTTAGCTTGTTGGCTCCCTCGGTGTTGCTGATAGGCTTTTTTCTTTTTCTTTTCTTAGGATTTGGATGTTGTGGGTGACGGTATGCAGTGCCCTCCTTCACCCTTGCTTTTTGATCCTTCTCTAACCCTTGAAGATCATCCAGTCAAAGAAATTGCTGAAAGCCCAGTGGATATTTTGGCAAGTGAAGAATAACTTCAGCCAGGCCAAGAGCTCCACGCTGGCTGTGGTTGGCATGTGCTCCTGGGGGTTGAGGTTGTCATCACTAGCTGTAAGGGTGCCCCTGGTTGCAGTTTTCCAGATGGGCCTTAGAACACTTAATAGCCCCTGGTCCCCATATCTGGGAGAGCAGGACATAAATTTATTTGGTTAACTAGGAAACGTTGAGGCAAGGAATGTAGGTAAATTGTTGATTTAAGGGAGAGTTCATTATTGGAATTGTTTTCATCATAAAGTTAAGCACAAGCAGTGTGATTTGGTTTCTTTGAGCTTTGGGTGGGACAGTCATGGCCCTGACTGAAGACCTGCAGTTACACTATAGCTGTTGGTTTCAAACAGAGGCCCAGAGCACTGTCTTCCTGTGTGATCTGTTGGTTGGTCTGGAACCTCAGCAGGGAATGGCTATTTCATTTGGAAGAAACAACCCACAGCTTTCCTTTGCATTGAAAGTCTCGGGAATGCTACCTGTAATGATTTGTGACTCCAGGAGTCAGGAATAGTCAAGTATGGGGAAGGGCAATTACATAGAGTTACAAATATCTGCTGTCTTGTTCTGGCTACTTCCTATACATGGGCTTTATATAAGTCGGATTCATGTTGCAGGCCACAATGAATGAGTTTGTAACCAAACTGACTTTGTTTTAACAGGGCCAGATGCAGATGGCTGGAGATGGGTGCAGAGCACAGGGACCTCGAAATTCTGAGAAAGCCCTTGCACCATTGCCTCAGAGTGGAGTGGCTACTGCAAATGGGAAGCCGGAACCCCCTTCTGTTAGTTGATAGCTTGTTCTGGGAACCAGTTGACTTTGGAGGATTTGTATTTCCCATTCTTTCAACAAGTATTTCTGACCCATCTCTCACTATATAAAGGACAACCCAGACTACCTTGTTTTTCTTTTGGGTTATCGAGTGCTCTAGTCAAACAAATGTTGAGGGCAGGGACCAATTGTGTCTACAAGCTGTGGATGTCTTCCCACTCCATGCAAGGGGGAGAGGTAGGTGGTTCCCATCAGAGCTGCTGGGATTGAGAGTCCTGGAGACTGTGCCTAAGGGAAGAGAGGTTTTTGTAATGCTGTTTCCCAAGTCTTTGGATGTTGAGGGACCCAGTGGTTGGTTATCTCTGTCTAGCTGCCTGTGTTTTAGCCTTTCCTCACCTCTCATCCTTACTGGGTACTCTGAAGCTCCTCTCCTCAATGAACTCTGACCCATAGCCTCTGAGAAAATAGCCCACAGGACTGGGCCTTGCTAAACCATCCATCGTGCTTCTAACCTATGTAAATTTCTGTAGTGGCTATCTTATGTAAGATACAATAAAAAATTATTGTACATAGTTTCTATTAAATGTTGAAGTGTTATGAAAATGTAAAACAATGAGTTGAATGCATCTTTGTGTTTGAGAGTGTGGTATCTATATGTTGGGGGGGGGTGGGTTGGGAGCTGTCTGATGGGAAAGGGAAAAAAAGACAGATACACAAACCTGTAATAAGTAAATGGAAAGGGCTCCCTTATTAAAACCTACTTGCCTAGTTAATGGTATTTGCATATTCCTCCCAAATGTCTTCTTTCTTTTTTATCCTCACTGCTCCCTCTTCCCACTCACATTTTTTTCTCACAATTAATGGTTGATTGTTGCCTAAAAATTCTCTTAAGGCTAGGAGTGTGTGTGTAAAGACGAGGAGTGTGTGATCTCCAGAGTTCTCTAAGGTTAGGAGTGTGTGTGTAAAGCTAGGAGTGTGTGATCTCACCATAACATAATATGACAAGGAGGCAAAAAGTTACCCTTTGTAACTTTTTTTAATAGAGAAAAGTTATATAGTTATATTATCACCTTGACTTTAGTTTATTTCCTGGGAATGGTCAGGAAGTGACTCAGAAGACCTGTCAGATGAATCCTGAGATCACCTTTAATAGGGCTTGCTGTATACTCCAGTTTATTTGTTCCCACTGCTTTCTTGTCTAGTACTTTTTACACTATTCATGAACATCCCTTATGCAGATTGAAAAACTTCTGCAACAAGATTAGGGATTAAAATATCTTCTTCCCATTGTTTTTTTCTTTTTTCTTTTTTTTTTTGCTCTACCACACAGCATGTAAGAGCTTAGTTTCCCAATGAGACCCCTGCTCCCTTGGGGTGGTAGTGCAGAGTGCTAACCACTGAACTACCAGGGAAGTCCCATCTTCCCATTGTTTTAAAAAGTTATTGGCAAATTGCTAGCATCCATGTCACTCAGTCTGGTGGTTTTATAAGTTTAACAGGTTCAGGTACCTTTGGGTGGAGGGTGGGGGCGGGTTGCAGTGTGGATTAGAGGCCTTGGAACCTGTATCCTAGCACCCAGAGATTCTGATGGCCATTTTTCTGCAAATGCCAAGTGAAGAGTTGGGAAAAGTCTACTGCTCTCCAAGGTTTTATCTTCTGTAATTAAGATTTGGTAGGAAGAGACATTTGGGCTGCATTATAGCTCAGGAAATGCTGTTGGATGGGAGTCCATAAGCAAAGGGCTACCTGTTAGAAGACATGGCCTGCCTGTCGTACGTAGCCTGAGGGAGCTCTGGCCTCAGTGTAGATCTAAAGATGGAGCTGGAGCCCTACTTCATCCAGGTGATCAGTCAGTTATCCTGAAATAGAGCTCCTTTCCTGGACAGAATTTGAAGTTCCCTGGTGGTACTTCAGAGGAGGAGATGGTTGGGGGCATGATTGAGTCAATGAAAAGGAGTTTGAGCAAACTCCAGGAAATAGTGAAGGACATGGAAGCCTAGCATGCTGCTGTCCATGGGGTCGCAAACAATTAGCATATGGTTCAACAACTCTGCTCTCAGAGAATTGAATTGAAAACAGAATTGAAAAAGAATTAGAATTGAAAAGAATTCTCAAAGAATTGAAAACAGCTGTACACATGTATATTGATAGCAGCACTGTTCACAAGAGCCCAGAGGTAGAAACAATGCAGATGTCCATCAGTGGGTAAATAGACAAGCAAAATGGAGTAGATCCAGAGGTTAAGTGAATCCTGATGGTCCAGTGGTTAACACTCCACACTTGCAGTGCAGGGGTGCGGGTTTAATCCTTGGCGGGGAATGAGGATACCACATGCTGCACAGTGTGGCCAAAAAATAACAAAAATGGGGTAGATTTCATACACAGCATTATTATCTGTCACAGGAGGAATAAGGAAAATGGTTCAGCTTCTGTGGAAAACAGTATGGTAGTTCTTTAAAAACTTAAAACACAGAATTAATGTATGATCAATTTCACATGAGGATATATACCAAAAAGACTGAAAGCAGGGACTGGAACAGATATGGGTACAGTCATATACATAGCAGCATTAACCACAAGAGCAAATGGTAGAAGTAACCCAGTGTCCACTGATGAATGAATGGGTAAACTAAATGTGGCACATACACAAAGTAATGTAATTCAGTCTTCAAAACTAAGGAAATACCAGCACATGCTACAATGTATATGAGCCTTGAAGTCATGATGAGTGAAATAACTGTCACAAAAAGACAAAAATGTGATTTCACATGTATGTGGTATCCAGAAAATTCAAATTCAAAATCAGAACATAGAATGTGGTTGGTTGCCAGGAGCTGAGGAAAAGTAGAGCGTAATGGCTACAGGGTTCCACTAGTGAAAATGGAAAAGTTCTGAACATGGATGGTGAGGCTACTTGTATAAGAATGTGAATGTTGTTAATGTCATTGAATTTAAAGCATAGTTAAAATGGTTTGAATGGTAAATGTTACGTATATTTAAGCACAATGAGAAAAATGAAGTACTGATACATGTTACCACATGGATGAACATCCCAAGTGAAAGAAGCCACACAGAAAAGAGTAGCTTGATCATACTCATCGAGTGGACTTTAAATCCATCAAGATTGTGAAGCTGAGGTAAAGTGTCAGTAATGGTTCCAGAAAAAGAAAACTGGATCAGTTTAAGCTGGTGACAACCAGCCCTGGTGACAAAGGCCACAGTAGGTCCCCTCGATGGAAGAGTGAACAGACACTCCTCTGTGAAAGAACAGTGTGCAGGACCCATCGAAGCCCTACAGTGCATTTTTGTATAGCAGTGCTGATCCTTAGAGTTGGCCCCACTAAAATTCTTGCTCAATTTTTCAAAGATCCATCACAGTACTGGTTGAGATAGTAGGAAATTGGCAACAACACTGATGTTCATGGAGATGGGGATGGGATCCATCAGTTTTAGTCCACGTGGATGGAGGAATTCTGTGCAGCTAAGAAAGTGGGTGTAGAGTCTCTGATGACAAGGAGAGCTTAGGGTTCTCTTTGTGGATGTACATAGACCAACTGTCTGCATCCAGGATCCTATCTGTAAGACCACATTTATGTGACATCAACATAGATGTAAATAAATCTGTGTGTGAGAGAGAGACAGAGGAGAGAAGCAGAGCCTGAGAGATACGCACAAAAACATTCATAATGGTCACTTCTGGGGAGTGAAGTGAAAGTCGCTCAGTTGTGTCTGACTCTTTGCAAACCCATGGACTGACTGTACAGTCCATGGAATTCTCCAGGCCAGAATACTGGAGTGGGTAGCCTTTCCCTTCTCCAGGGGATCTTCCCAACACAGGGATCGGACCCAGGATCCCCGCATTGCAGGCAGATTCTTTACCAGCTGAACCACGGGGATGGGACTTACAAATCTCTTCTCCTTTAGGTGAAATTTCATTTTTCAATAATGTGTATGTAATATTTTAATAATTAAAAAAAAATCATGTGTTAAATATGGTCCATTCATCACTCATCTCTGGTGGCACTAATGTTGAAGAGTCTGCCTGCTAATGCAGGAAATAGAAGAGACACTCATTTGATTCTTGTGTTGGGAAGATACCCTAGAGAAGGAAATGGCAACCCACTCCAGCATTCTTGCCTGGAAAATTCCACGGACAGAGGAGCCTGGTGGGCTACAGTCGATGGGGTTGTAAAAAGTCGGACTTGAAAGCACAGCAGCAGCACAACATGAAGAACTACAACTTAACAGCAAAAAAAAAAAAATCTTTCAAAATTGGGCAGAGGAACTGAATAGACATTTTTTCCAAAGAAAACATACAGAGGGGCAACAGACACATGAAAAGATGCTCAACATCATTCATCATCAAGGAAATGCAAATCCAAACCACAATGAGGTATCACCTCACACCTGTCAGGATGACTATCATCAAAAATACAAGAGAATAAGTGTTGGTGAGGATGTGGGGAAAAGGGAAACTCATTGTTGGTGGGAATGCAAATTGGTGCAGTAGCTGTGGAAAATAGTGTGAAACTTCTTAAAAAAATTAAACGTAGAATGACAATGCAATGCAGCATTTCCACTCCTGGGAATATATCCAAAGGAAATGAAATCACTATGTCAAAAGATGATGCTGTTAAAGTGCTGCACTCAATATGTCAGCAAATTTGGAAAATTCAGTAGTGGCCACAGGACTGGAAAAGTTCAGTTTTCATTCCAATCCCAAAGAAAGGTAATGCCAAAGAATGTTCAAACTATCATACAATTGCCCTCATTTCACATGCTAGCAAGGTCATGCTCAAAATCCTTCAAGGTAGGCTTCAACAGTATGTGAACTGAGAACTTCCAGATGTACCAACTGGATTTAGAAAAGGCAAAGGAACCAGAGATCAAATTGCCAACATCTGATGGATCATAGAAAAAGCAAGTGGATTACAAAACAAAACATCTGCTTTATTGATTACGCTAAAACCTTTGAGTGTGTGGATCACAACAAACTGGAAAATTCTAGAGATGGGAATACCA